GAGTCCTGACTTTGTGATCACACTGTTACCTCCAAGACCTGTTGTTACACACAGTGACCAGGGTCATTGCAGAGGTCATTCTGGCTATGCCGGCAAGCCAGGCTCAGAATTTGTTAGGAATACAAAAGTCTGAAGAGACATAGCCAGAAAGATGGTCAGTTCCATGCTGGGCCTAGGCCAGTTCCCAGCTGGGAGGGCAGGCTGGGAACCACAGCCGATGGGGACAGTGATGGATGGAGTGGCCTGTTCCGGCACATTCCATGTTCTTTCCCACAGGCTCCGCCTGGCCTTAGAGAGCTGCTTCCTCTGTGGATACTCAGCGGTATTCAGCTGGGAACTGGGTAACGCCGTGGAGGACACAGGAGCTCCCCTGGGCCCACAAGCAGTCATGGAGCCTGGGAATTTTCTGGAGAGTGGGAACAGGGAAGTGACAGAGACTGGGATGGGCTGGGGGAAGGAGCCAGGCCTCCCTCACTCTCTTCCTTCCCAGGGACCATCCTAGATTCTGCCAACTTCAGGCACCATGGGATGGTGTATGGGTGCCACTGCCTCAGAGTTCCCTACTCATTCAAGTCCCTTGGGACTCCAAACCTCTGTCAGGCCCTATATGCAGTTTCTAGGATTCAGAATAGGGAGCCCATAAACTCTCTTTCCTGGGGAGGTCTGGAAGGAAGATACCATCAGTCCTAAAAAAAAAAATAGCATGGGACACTGGACATGCTTTAGAGACCTTAGAAGCTGGCTGAGGTCACCTGAATGCAGGGGCCCCTGAGACCAGCAGGGTCGGGCTACCCAAATCCAGTGTTATTGCTGGCTTCTCAGCTGGGTATCCAGGACACAGGATAGACCACTCTGTGCCTTGGTTTTTCCACCCGTAAGGTGGAGCAGGGTTGTATGGATGAGGGCTGCCGAGACCCTCATAAAGCAGGTGCCCCTCACCACACAGAAGACAGTGATTTGTTGGACTGCATGATGCCATGGGCCCCTTACCTCATTTCCTTGGAATGATGTATCTGGGCACTCCCACAGCATCCCCCCACATGCCACAGCACAAAAACTACAATATTGTCCTAAGCCAAACAGCAAGCAGGAAACATAGGATGCGTAGAGCACTATCAAGCTGACGACAGAAGTTCCCCAGCGACCACTCCAGATTGGGTGGCCACACAGCCCTGTGTCCTTTCTGCAGGTGTGAAGGTTGACCCTAGGGGCATAGGCATGGATCTGGCTCCCTGTGTATCTCCATGCTTCTTCTTCGTGGTTCCCACTGTGGCTGCAAACAGCCACCATGTCAATTGCCTGTACTAAAAGAGTTCACAGCAGTGGCTTGGCCTGGAGCTGATGCACACTTCCGATCCTGGCTGCCCCAGCCACAAAGCCATGAACTTTGGTGGGTCCCTGAGGGGGCTCTGAGGTCAGTAGCTGTCATCTGGAATAGTCAACAGTGCTGCCCCGGGACAGCTGTGATTTTTAATCCCACCTGCTTACCTTACAACACGTAAAGCCCAACTAAGCAGGTGAAAGAACCTCTGTCCAACTGCCTGGAAGCAACTCAGAACCTGGGGCACACACACCTAGGTAGGTGGGTATAGAAAGGCTTGGGACTGATGGACAAGACCCAAATCTGTACTTCACAGCTAAGTGACTCTGAAGAAATAACTTCTTAGACCTCAATTTCCCCTTTATGAGATGGAGCTGCAACAGTACCTCTAGGAGACTGTGACGGCTTAAGATCTAGCAGGAGTGTGGTTGAGGTAGTGGGGTTGACACTGGTGGGGCAATGGGAAAAGAAAGGGCTCCGAGCAACCCCAATTTCAGGGTGGTCTGACCTCTCCAGAAACTGCTCTGGAGGGACTAGCACTTGCAGGCTTGCTGGGAAGCAAGAACTGCCTCTCAGTGACTTCCCAGAAGTGGAGCCTCATACCTGGCCAGTCCCTGCTCAGGCAGGCTGTTTATGGTATGTGCCTGGAGGGTTCCCCAGGGAAGCAGGGCAGGAAGATTCAGTCTGGGAAGGACAAATCCACTGGCCTAGTTCCTGCCATTGGCTTTTCTGAGCCTGTGGCACCCAGAAGGCCTTCCCAGCCACTTCAGTGTGGGGAAGAAATTTAATGAAAATTACCTTCTTGGCCTAGAGATGTAGCGCAGTTGGTAGAGCACTTTTGTAGCATGCACAAAGCCCTGGGTTCCATCCCTAGCACCCATAAACTGGGCATGGTGACACACACATGCAATCTCAGCATTCAGAAGTGGAGGCAGAAGTACCAGACATTCAGCACCATCTTTGGCTACACAGTAAATCTCTAAATGCATAAGTAAATACGTAAATAAATAAATAAATAGCTGTGGTACGGGTTCTATAAATGACATCCCTCACCTCCTTTGATACCACCACACAGATCCACACCTCAGGGAAGTGGACAGTTTACATACTTTGGAACTGAGAAGGGGGCTCAGGCCCCTGGGGACAGCCTCTCCCAGCAGCCAGCCCCACCCACCTGACCTAGACCATCTGTCAATTGGCCAGTCAGCACTGGCCTCCATGCTCCCTATACCCTTTTCCTGAGGCTCCTGGCAAGGTTCTCCAGAAAAATACTTCCTCTTGGGGGTGCCACAGCGACCTCTACCCTGAGTCCTCACCTTTTGGGGACTGCAATCTCATGAGGAAACCTTGCAGAACCAGGGAGCAAGGTGTCTGCAGTGGGGTGGCAGTCCAGAGGAAATGCCAGGAGGGAAACAACATCCTCAGGGCATGCTGGGAAGTGGACACCCTTAGGCTGCTGGAGGGAAGGCAGGGAAAGGGTAAAGGCAGAGCAGAGCAGCAACCCCAGGTCTAGGAGGCTGTATACGGGTCCGAAGCAGGAGACCAGGGGACTCCAAGTCCCCACACTCACTGCTCTTCATGTGTGATTTGGGGCAGATCATGGCACCGCTGTGTCCTTGGGCCTCTCTTTGAAATGGGCTTTGAGTGGAATCAGGACTACAGGATTTCTATGGGGACAGAAGAGATCCATGAAGCACTGGGAACCATCTTCATCAATGAGCATTTAAGGCTCTGAGGCAATAGATGACCTCTGGCCTCTGTGAGTCTGGTCCTATTAAAAAGAAAGTTAAGTGTTACCAGGCACCAGCAGGATGCCTTTGATACCATGGTCATGCAAGTGGCGGCCACCGCAACGTACCGTGGCTTGCGGCATCAGTGTGTCTACCAATGAGTGGTCCAGCATTGATCAAGTGAGCTGAGAGGTAGCAACTAGTGCCTAGCCCAGCTGCCAATCATGCCTTCACTCAATTGGTTATACTTTGTTTAGTGCTTGAAGCTCAGGTGGAACCACTTCTCCTCTGGGAAAGGCTTCAGAGACACAGAGTGTCCCCAGTGTCCTGGGCCTGTGACCAGGGCCAGCCTGGCACTTGAGACATTTGGCCCTGGCAATACCATCCCAAGCTGCCCCAGTTGCCCGAGGGCCCAAGGGCAGACTGGACAGGTGAAGGGCTGATGAGGACGGGCTGCTCCATGCTGAAGCAGCCAGCCACATTTGCCTTCTTTGGTTGTTGTCACCGGAGACTGGCCATCAGTTCCACAGCCAGGCATGGTGTTGATAGGTCCCCACAGCTGCGGCCACATATGTGCCCAGCCATCAGCCTTTGGACAGTTGGGGGAAGGGAGGAGCTGAGTGCCGGCAGGAGGGGGGGCAGAGGCCACAGCTGGGGGACAGCAGGTGCTGCAGCCTGGGTGGCTGCTGTGTACCATCTGCTCCCATTCTGCCCCTCCTCGTGGGCCCAAAAAGATGGGGGCCTCTTGCTTCTTCCTTGCAGACCCAGACACAAGCCATCATGAGCCACGGGCTTGTCTAAAATATCTCTGAGCTTCTCTCCCCTCTGCAGACCAGGAAAGGGGTTAGATGAGGGCTTCACTGTTTCTGGTCTGCCACCTGCTAGATGTCATTTACTGATCACCAGCCACAGAGGCTGGGTCACCTAGATTCATATGTGTCTGCCAGTGATGGGACCCTGAAATGAGGTGCAGGATGTGAAAGGCTGAGGGGTGATGCCCACTGTTGCCATGATGACGGCTAAGAGACAGGGAGTTATGAACTGTGCGACTCAGTCTCTGTCTCCACCCTCCCCCCATGGGAGACTCTGTGGGTATGATGGGAATGTGGCCGCCAGGCAGTCACTGGGGCAGAAAGGTCTGCCCTCTGCCCATCGCAAGCAGGAGTCTCCCCTTGCTGGCTCTGGAGAGCTGGCCACATGACGAAGAAGCAGCTTCCACAGGTCCACCTACCCTACCTGACCATACCTTAAGATGAAAGGGAAGCCCCAGGACTTAACCATCCCCTGCAAAGTGTGCCCTAAGCAGTGCTGCCCCTTGGACTTAGGCTGACCCCATGCCTTTGCTTCATAGTCCTGTTCTGGAGCCCTTGGCTCTCCAGGATCCACCTGACATTCACCATCTTAGCTTCCTATTCATCTGACCCTGAGCCGGGCAACTTGATGAGAGTTGGGTCACTGGGATGTTGTTGAGCCTGTGGGTCACATTTCAGGGACCAGGCCCTAAGCACCCTGAAACTCACAAGTCTCTCATAGGGGTCACAAGGACCATAGGGCAGGAGATGGTTAAAACAGTGGTTCCATGCCCTAAAGCCAGTTTACCTGTGCCCCCCACTCCGCACAAGTCCTAGAGGAGAATTTCAGTTCTGGAAATCTGGGGTCATCACTCCCCACATATCTTATAAATGTAGATATTCAGCATAGGTCAGGAGAATTGAGATTGTGTGCTCCCACACAGACACTAGTCCTGACGAGCCCACCTGTGGCCTTCTCTGTGTTTCACCTGTGCATGGATGCTAGCCACCTGTGAGAACACTTGGGGTATCCACTGCATGGGTGGAGTCAGGAGTCCACCTGGCCAGGGGAAGCCTCGGGCCGCTGCCCACGTGCTGGCTGGCCAGCTCTTTCCTCAGCTGCTTGATCTTTCTGTCTCTCTCTCTCTCTTTCCTTAGCTGACAGGAAGGAGAAGGCTGCAGCTATGCCAGACTCTCCGGCTGAAGTGAAGACGCAGCCCCGGTCCACACCCCCCAGCATGCCACCCCCACCTCCCACCGCATCCCAGGGAGCCACACGACCACCCTCCTTCACACCTCACACACGTGAGTTCCCCTCATATCTCCCACAGCAGACCAGGACAGGGAGTATAGAGTAAGTGGAGCCATCTGAAATTCTGTACTCTACATTTGACATCATGGGACCTGTGATCCATTTGCAGCCTATGCTTAGGCTCAGATCCCCCCTCCTCCTGCTTACTTAGCAACTTTGGGTTAGCTACCTTAACCTTTCTGGCCTGGCTTCCTCATTTATAAAGTAGGGGCCTGCTGTGGTTCCTGTCTTACAGCCATGTGGAAATGAAATAAGTTAACAGACATTAGTACCAACCTACAAGCACTGATATCTGAAGGCCCCAGGTACTTGGGCTCATCTCAGTAGCCCAGAGCAGAGGCTGGAGTACACAGCACTCTGGGGTCAGGGCTGGGGGACTCCAGACAGCCTAGAGCAAGCATGGCAGCTCTCCTCTATAGCCACCTCTTTTCTTTGAAAGATTGTGACTTAGACATTGGGTTGCTGAGCAGTTGTGAAGACAGAAACTCCCAGGGTTGGGCCATTAAAAGGGACAATGTCTCATGCCTTTACCCCAAGATAAAGGCTTAGGAGTGTATCTTATGTGTTCTGGCAGGGAAAAAGAAGCCATGTGCCACCCCCACCCCAACCTCAAAGACACATACTTAAGGGGCCCTGCTCAGATCTCAAACTGAAGCAAGACCCCTCTTTGAGGGCAGAGTCTCAGTACCTCATCCTGGTGTCACCTAGTTTCCAGGGCATGGGCGCTTCCTCTGGTCTCTCCATCCCTGGACATGGAGCATGAACTCTGCCCTTCAAAGATAGGGCTCTAAACAAAGCTCTGCTGCCTAGAGAAAGGCAACCAGCTCAACCAGAGGCCAGCCTTGTCCTGTAGACAGGGTGTCAGGCTCCAGGTACAGCGGCATAGAGCCGGGACGGTCTGAGAACATGCCCAGCACATGGCAGGTTGCCTCCTGGCTGAATGCCCATATACACCTTCCAGTCTTCTGAGAGGTCTGAGAGCTAGGGGACTCCTAGCTCTGCCTCTTGTGGCTGAGACTCTACCCTTAGCAACCTGTTGCTTTCAGAGGACAGATGGGCCTGCCAGGCCCTGGTCTGCCTCCTGGTCATGCTCCTCCTGGCCAGAGATACCTGTGCCTTTTCTCACATTCTTCCTTCCATAGTGCCGTGACTGGCAGTCAGCTTTCCCTCTTTCCCAACCGTCCTTCCCTCTGGGCTGAACTGCAGGTAGACTCTGACTGCTGGGCAGAATCAAGGCTCATCCAGTGGGTGAGAGGGGGCTCTGTGGGACTGTACCGATGTCACCAACCAAAGCCTTAACTTAGGGACAGGAATTGCTTGTTTGGGGGTCTGTGCCACCTCTACCAGTGACACACTTCCTGAAACAATGGTCCTCCAGATGTTTGGAGGCCCCAAGCAGGAAGGAAGAGCTGCCGACAGGCTGATCTTGGACTCTAAGCTGTCACCAACCCTCAGGGTGCGCCTCCCCCAGCCTGCATTTCCCCATGGACCAGCTTATCCCAAAAGCTGGCCTGGACACCAGATGTTCCTGGTTAGGAGTGAGGATGGGATCAGCTGGGACCTATGGGGCTTTGCTTTCATGGGGCCTGTAAACAGATGTGAGGGTGGCCAGAGCATGTGTGGTACATGGGGAGGAGTTGAGTCCCTCCAGCCCCCCAGTCCCACCCTGGGGGTTGCATCTCTGTCTATAGAGCACAAGGCTTTCATTTTTCTTCCAGTCTGTGGGGTGACTAGTCGGTGCATAAGTCTGAGGCTCAGGCCTCCTGAGGTCACCTCAGGTTTTTTCCTAATCCACATGGTTAACCACACCCCTGCACCTGGTTGGTGGCAGTCCTGGTAAAGCCTCTGCAGCCAGCTGCAGATTCCTGCCCAGTGCTTCAAGCCAAATGAAGAGACTGACCTTGAACCTCTACTTGAGGGCTGTGGTTTTCCTGGCCCAGTGACAACCCTGGGCACAGATTGGTCTCCAGCTGGGGAAATGGGCAGGAGGATGAGTGTGGAGACCTGGGACAGAGCAAGAAGCATTGACCATACTACACTCCTCTTAGGCAGAGAGCCCCTAGGTGGGTTGAGCTCCCATCTGCCCTTGTCTGCTTCTGAGACAGGGGGCTCACTACTCCTAGAGCTACTGCCTGTCTCTGCTGACAACCCCATTCAGGTACCTCAGACCTGAGTCTCAGCAACTGAAAACACAAAGCTTGGGCACCAAGTCCCTTAAGGACAGTGCTAAAGGGGTAGGCAGGCACTTCCTGGGAGGGGGTAGCTTTTAGGAGGTAGGTGCCCTGCTCGTGCTGACAGATGCCCAGTGCAACCGTTATTTTTGCAGAGGAGGAAACTGAGGCCCAGAGGAGTGGACTGATCCCCCAATGGCAACAGCATGATCTCTAGGACTGCCGCTAAACAGCAGAGGGGACGGGCCGCTGCGGCGCCCTCCTGACAGCGTGTTCTTCTTATTTTGCTTACAGATGGCGAGGATGGACCTGCGACGTCTCTGCCCCACGGCCGTTTCCACGGCTGCTTAAAGTGGTCCATGGTCTGTCTCTGTAAGTAAAATAACAAGAACCATGGGCTTTAAGGAGGCCACCTGGGTCCTTCTCTCTGCCTCTACACTCCCTTTGTTGGATCTCTAGCCAACTTAAAGACAAGAGAGGCCCAGGGGCCTAAGGGCTAGAGACTGAGACCCTCAGACATTGTGTTGGAGCTGTGGGACCTTTGCCTGTGAATGCCCATTGAGCTTGATCCCCAACAGCCAAACAGGCTGACTGGAGCAGGTGCCAGGCCTGTGACGGGACAGTGGGACATGTGTCAGTGTCAACAAGTCAAGCTTCACTGTTTCAACAGAATCTGGCTCCCCCTGTTGGCAGAGTAACGATGGGCAGGTATGGTTGCCTGTGCCTCAGTTTCCCCACCTGTAAAGAGATGCTGCCACAGTATGGAGTACTGAAGGTGATTCATGCACCACGCTGGCAAAGCCTTGTTGCCATGTCTGACCCCCACCACATGCCCTGTGGGTATCAGTCACTAGTGGATGATTCCACCAAAGCTCTGGGTGACATTCAGAGTATTTGTCCCCCATCATCAGGTGTTACTATGCCTCAGCAGTCTTAACTGGGCCAATTAGCTGTATCTCCCAGGTGTGTGCAGCTGCCATGTAACTTCTGGGCTCTAAGATTAAGGAGGAGGTTACATGTGTTATTTATGCCCTATGTTGTCCTTCTTGCTGCCATCATTCTGTGCCATGCTTGGCCACACACTAGGGCCTGGCAGACAGCCTGACTAGCCATCAACTGTTGACTGATTCTTGTTGTGGTGATTATGGTGTTCCCTTTGTCAGGGAGAAAGAGTGGAAGAGATGTTAACTGGGTCCATGCACCCCAGGGCAACTCCCACCCAAGCATCAAGGCTAGGGGAGCTGTGGGGTGCTAGTTTGTGCCCCCAAACATCAGCCAAGGACACGTGTGCAGTCTAACTTAGTAACACACCTGTTGTGGTAATGAAAACACTTGTGCTGGGGGCTATTTTTGGCGTCTCTTTAGCTGCTGAGACTGCCCGGCAGCCGCGGGAGGGAACTCAGACAGGCAGTGAGGCGAACAGGCCACCGGGGACCCAGGAGCTCAGAGCAAGGCTGGTAAGCGGGCCTCAGGGAGGACAGGACCAGACCAGGCTGGGTCTGGTGGGTGGTGGACTAGATAATGTGGACATTGGCATGTCTTAGAAACTGCTAAAAGAGCCCTTGTGATAAAACGCTTGATCTTAAGACACAAGTCCACCTCTATTAGTGAGGTCTCCGTGGCAACAAGCCATCTCCTGGTCTGGCTGAGGTGACAGCAAGTGGCTGTCATTAGGTTTGACTGGGGCATGTGTGTCAGTGGCTGTCAGAACTTACTAGCGAGAGGGAAGTCCACCCAGTGGGGTCCTCTGGGCATGGTCTTAGAGAGGCTAGGACCCAGAGCTGTTGCTATGCTATGTGCAGACATCACTGACCACCCCAGAGCAAGAAGGGTGCTCCCATGCACAGACTTACCCTGGCCTTCTTCTGCTAGCATACAGTCATTGTGGAACTGGAATGGACTCTTGAGATCATTTGGGGAAACAGTGGAAAGACTTCAGCTTCCATGTGCATGTTCCCCACTAGGACAGAGGAGCTGCTTAGAACTGAATGCAGAGGGTTCCATGCCTAGTGGAAGCATAAAAACACCAAGGTAGCATGTGAGCTTGCATTTCTCTCCCCACATGCTCTGAAACTTCTGTCCCTTGGGAGCAGCTGTTGAGGGGTACCTCACATAACACCCAACATGTAGAGTCTGTCAGGGTTGTGATCTCGTGAGGGCCAGCTCCCAGGTCAGTTGGAGGCATATGCAGGCTCCATAAGCCATGGGTTGGGAAATAAGGAAGATGACTATGCTGTGATCCTAGAGCCCACCTCAGAACTTCAGAGTGGCTTGGGACCATTGGCAGAGAGACCTAGGTTTGGCCTGCATTGTATATCTAGACTGGCGCTGCTCCCCCAACCCTCAAGGGTTTGTGATATGGGGTTGTCTGAGGACCTGTGAGAGTCCTGTATCCGGTGACTGTCAGGCTGGAGGTGAAGACAGAGGAATGGGGAGATGCGCTCTCCAAGGGGCTGGGTACTGTCTTATGCTCATGTGGAAGGATCAGAAAGTTGGGGGGGCAGGCAGGTCTACCCATGAACTGTTTATCCCAGGACCTTAGTGACCCTGTCTACTTATGTGGATCTAGAACATGCTTGTGTGGAACCACCAACCCTAGCCCCAGGAGGTTTATCTGGGAGGAAGCCTCAGGCAGTATCTGGGCAAGATAGAGCTGGTCACTGCACTAGTTAGCAAGAGAGGGCTATGGAGGGCTCATAGGGGAGACAGAAGCTCCAAGACTGGCCGAGTAGGATTAGGTCCCAAGCCCTGTAGTGTGAGAAGTGGTGCAGCAGGATTCTGCAAGAGCCATAGAAGCCACAGCGATTTGAGGGCTAGGAAGGAGGGACTTAGATAAAGGCCCACCTCACCTTTCCATGCCCAGCCCTTAGGCCACCTCCTAGTGCTTGGGTCAAGATGTCCAGGCAGGTGCAGTCTAGAATGACGTGCTAAGGTACTCATTGCCTGAAGCAAGAGGATACCCAGGGGAACTCAGCTAGAGTCTCTGAACTGGACAAGCTGGGGGGATCTTCAGTCTAGAAAAAGGGCTCCCTCTCTCCCTTGGCACTTAGAGCGCCATCAGGCCTCACCACAAGTGGAATGAGACAGCTGGAACTTGAAGGACTGTAGTCTCGAGGACACCCCAGATCTATACTCTCAGCATAGTTCTGAGAACCCGGCTCCTGCACACTTGGTCAATTCAGGAGACAGTGGGGCACCCTAAGGTTAGGGGGCATAAGACAAGAACAAAAGCAACAGTTAAGTGAGCCAGAGGTGTGTGGACATATGGCCATATATAGAGGTAGCATTCATGACCTATGAACTCTGACCTATCTGCAGACTCCGCTAATCATACCTTTGTCACTCAGGGCTGAGAGGCAAAGGACTCTGTGGCAACCCCTGGCCTTGGCCCTGATACTCAGAGTTGATGGCAGGGTCATCTAGTCAGCCATGGCACAGTGACTGGCAGCCATGATCCTGTAGCATGCTTATCAGATGTCTTCTTAGTCACCTGATTGTCCTCAGCATGAACTATCCCCTGGACACAACCTTCTGTGTCAAAATCTCCTGAAGAACCCAACCAGCTCCTCCTGGGGAGTCACAGTCGCTCTGCCTGATCTTGTGTCCCATCACCTCAAACGTTGGGCTGCTTGCTGGCAATGGCATTACTGAGGCTTAGAGAGGCTCAGGGTCCTCAGGGTTGGAGAGGCTCCCAGGACAGTGCTCAGGGCTAAGGAGAGTTGGGGCATTGCTCAGAGGCGGAAAAGAGATCAGGTAGAAGGTATTGCTTAAGGCTGTTACAGCAAAGGCAGCGTTGCTGGCCTTTTCTTGGGGTGATTGGGGTGACTTCTCGTTTCCCCTACCATGGGTGAAGAGGCCCCATGCTTGCTCATAGTGGAAACCTGAGTCAGTCTGGTTGGATGGACTGGGCATCTGCTGCATGTGGAGGACCTAGATTATCAGCTGGTATGAAGGTATTGACCTCAGGCCCAGGGTAAGCACCCAGGGACACTGTAAGCCAGTCTCACAATGTCTGTCTCTGCAGCTACTTCCAGGGTGTGAGCCCTACCACCCTCCTGGTGGTACCTGAGGTGAAGGGAGTCACCGCCCCAGTACCAGTTTGCATATCTGTAAGAGAATAACACCCGTGAGCGCAGTATGGTTGCAAGGATAAAACAGCAGCTGTGTAGTATACTGGCCATGGCCACTCTGGACTCTACTGTCTTCATCATTGTCATTTGGGTCATAGTTACCATTGTCACCATGTATAATCGTAAAGTGCAGTTATTATGCCCTAACAGTCATCATTCTCCTGCAGTGATGAACGGCAGCAGCCACTCACCTACGGCCATCCACGGTGCCCCATCTACACCCAATGGCTTCAGCAACGGCCCAGCCACCTCATCTACCGCCTCGCTGTCCACACAGCACCTGCCCCCGGCATGTGGGGCACGGCAGCTCAGCAAGCTCAAGCGCTTCCTCACTACCCTGCAGCAGTTTGGCAGTGACATCTCGCCTGAGATTGGGGAGCGTGTGCGCACGCTGGTGCTGGGGCTGGTGGTGAGTCTCTGGGCTATCAGGCATCCGTGTTGCCCAGGACAACCTCTCTGCCATGGGCTCCATCATTATTCTACAGCTCCATTATGCTCTCCTCATCCCTCAGGCCAGGCCCTGAGTCTCCTCCTTGCCGGGGTGGAGGTGGGGCAGCTGGCTCAGTTAGTACATAGGAGCCTTTAAGTGGGGTGTTCTCTCCTGCAGAACTCAACCCTGACGATCGAAGAATTTCATTCCAAGCTCCAAGAAGCCACCAACTTCCCACTGCGGCCATTTGTCATCCCCTTTCTGAAGGTAACCAAATCCATCCTACCTGGGGGCTCCCTGAGAGGCCCCAATCCCCAATCCCCCTCCCTACCAGGCATCATTCTCAGCTGCCCAGGAAAATGGTGCTGGCCACCAGATCTGACTAGTTACGCCTGTAAACTAGTTGCTAGCCATCATGAGTCAGCCACAAAAACAACAACAACAAAGACAGTGTATTCTCATCCCTCAGCAGAGTTTTTAGTTGCCCACTCCATGCCATGGGCAGTGCAAGGCTCAGGGGATCGCATGAACAGCTAGACAAAGTTCCCTAAAGAAACAACCTTGTGGGAAGAGAGTGCTGTCAACCAGGTAGAATTTGGAAATGTGTACAGTAAGGAAATATTTCCAAATCCATCAAGGATGGGCACTTCATGGTGACTGAGAATGCTGGAGAAGGCTTCACAGCGCCTTCTAAGAGACAGGACTAGTACATGCAAAGGCCCTGGGGATGGAGGAACAGCACCTGTCCGTGTGGCTGGAGTAGAGTGAAGGAATGGGTGCCGAGGGCAGTGACCAGGTGATGGACAGGCAGGCATGTGGCTAGACAGCAGGGTAACAAGATGCTGTGCTAAACACGGACGCAAATTTGGGACTAGGTCTGCATGAATGAGTGATGACATTGCACTGGGTCCCTTTGGCCCCCAAGCAAGGCAGATTCCTCACCCCAGCCCAAACCCTCAGATTCTGAGAAGCTGCATTTGTTTGGGAACGAGGGTTGGGTTGGTTTTTGTGGTTTTGTGGGTTTGTTTTCAGTGCTGGGGTTGAACACAGTCTTTTTTTTTTTTCTCAAGATAGGGTTTCTCTGTGGCTTTGGAGGCTGTCCTGGAACTGACTGTTGTAGACCAGGCTGGCCTCGCCTCCCAAGTGCTGGGATTAAAGGCGTGAGCCACACTGCCCTGCCTGAACACAGTCTTGTGCATGCAAGTGTTCTACTGCTGAGCTACAGCTCTAGCCCTTTCTAAGTTTCCCAGGATGGCCTTGAACTCTTTATCCTCCTGCCTCAGCATCCAGTAGTTGGGGTTGCAGATGTGCACCACCAGGCTTAGTGAGATGTTGGATTGTAAAATATGATAATCTGTGCATGCACACACACACACACACACACACACACACACACGGAATGAGCCAGGTCCTCATATAGGGCCTGTGATGCACTGCAGCCCTCCACGCTGAGAGGCATGAGGGTGGCATGCTTCCCAATGTGTTAGGCCATGTGATCTCTTTCCATTGAGACCTCTCAGAGAGATGCTAGCATGCCCATACCCTCGGGCACCCACCTCCACTTACAGCTACAGCCCCAGGTTATGTTTCCTGCTCTCCTTTAGTCAGAGTTCAAGGTCAGACCATACAAGGGGTAAGCTCCAAGATGTGAGCAGTCCCTAGGCCGGCCCCACCCCTCTGTATTCTGGAGTCCTCCATTCTCTCAGGGTAGTTACATCAGCAAGTTTTTTAACTGCCCAGTTAAAACAGACCAAGAGTGGATTATAAACATCTCTGCACAGATGCCCTGTTGACCCCGTGGAGGGCACAAACAGGACCTGACACTGTCAAGTTACTAGGCAGAAGAACTGAAACCCTCACTTTTCCATCTGGTAGAGACCCAAGGCTGGGTTTGGGCTTGGGTCTTTTATAGTTCAGAGTTCCCACAAAATTCACAGTTCATGTCCTACCATCCCCATTCCTTCTGGCACTTCACAGGTGGACCCCACAGACACCCCATCCCACTCCCCTCCTCCCTCACACCCACACCTTGCTGGGCTCACACTGGAGCTAGTGACAACAGAGAAGCCACGGCGCCAGCACGTGGGCCATCTGCCAGTTGTTTGCAGTGCGTTGGAGGCCCTCATTCTCCTCACCCTCCACATACTGCTGACTCTGCCACCGTGTCTTTGGGATGCCATGCGCCTGCTTATTTTGTCATTAGAGCAGATGCTTGGTAGCGTTGGCCACCCTGTTTATGCCTGGAATATCCCAGCTTCCACTGCCCATAGTTCTTACCAACAACATCCCTCCTACCCTAACCTAGTATGGCATCACCCAAGGCAAGTACTGGGTAGAACGTCTTGCCCAGCACTGCTTTGTCCAGGGACCCTCTCCATGTTCATTTCTCACTGCCCACCTCATAGCTCACCCAAGATCTCTGTGCCTCATGGTGGTGGTGATACAGAGCTCCTAGGGTGGAGGGACAGTAAGAGCCAAAGGTAAACCTAAAAGTGAGAGGTTCCAGCGAGTCCTTCTAACCTTGTTGCCAAGACACGAGCCAGAGCACTGGCCCACTCTGCCCTTTCAGAGGGTATGACTACTTTGCTGATACAGCAGGGTAGGAGCCCAGCACCAATGGTCTAGAAACAGAGGAAGAGCTCAGGCAGCTCCAGGTGCCTCCTTGCCCTCACTGGATAGGGCCCCCTCTTGGCTGATCAGAGAGCCAGCATAGCACCTTCGGGAATAGTCATGGACCTCCTGGCTTCTGCGGTGCTTCTCGTGGCCACCTCTTGGGATGCCATTCTGAGAAGAAACTGTTCTGAAGGTGTGGCTCAACAGAGCTTGGCTCCAACTGCAGGCCCTCTTGGGTCCTTTCCTAGGCAAGATAAAATTGCCTGCCACACAGGTGATAGGAAGAACTGAGTTAATTCCCATGGGGTTCACTGGAGCCTATCACACCAGGGCTTCCAGAGCTCTGGTTCACAGATGAGGCAGGAGGCAGTTGTGTGACTTCCCAAGGTCATAAAACTCCTCAGTAGCCCAACCAGGGTGAGTGGCTCGCCACATCTTCAGCCTGTGGTGAAAGGGCTCTGCAGAGCAAAGGGAAGCATAAGACTCATGGCTTAGCTGTCACTATGGTGGTTCTCTGTGTACCATGTATCCTCTCCCAGGGTCCCACTGAGGAGAAAGATAGTTTAGGTTTTTCTGGACATCAAAGTCTCCACGACAAGTGAAGTTGGGGCCCAGGGTACCAGTTCGGTGTGTCCTCTGAATGATGTCTGGGACTTTTGAAGAAGAATGGGGACTTGTTCTTTCTGGGTGAACAGTGCTCCTGTACCCCCAGCCAAGAGCTGCTGTGTATCTGGACTGTTCGACTAGCCTACCTGATACCTAGGTCTCCCTCCACTCTGTCCCGCACCCGCCCTCATGGAACTGGACAGTGGGGCTTTTCAGAAGCTGCCCCACCCGAGGCTCCAGCTCCCAGATGGCCCCAGCTGGCCAGAACCCCAGATGTTTCCCCACCCTAACAGCAACCAGATGGTGCTCATGCCCAGCCCCCGCCCCTCCATGCTAGCCAAGGAGAGGACAGGGTGGGTGGGGGCCTGGTGAGGGAAGAGACTCTGGGCTACTGAGACCTCCCAGGACCTCATCCCAGCTCATGCTTCTGACGTGGTCGGCAGATGGTGAGCTGGCCACCGTTCAGCTATCCAAACAGAAAAACAGGCTTGGCAGCCACACAGCTCAACAAAAATGCATCGGCTGCCTGATGGGCCGGTTGAATGCGCCAACAGGGACTGAGGAGGCAGAGGCTGGAGAAGGCTGCCCTGGCAGCTTTGAAGCGCATGGGAAAGTTGTGGAGCATGTTTATTTACAAGTACTTAGAACTTCTGGCTCTCCCAAGAGCCCTCCACTGGACCCCTGCCCAGCATGCTCAGGGCCAGCCTGCCACCCTACCCACAGCAGCTCTGGAAAGGCTGACCACCAGCATTGCCTGGAGACCCTGGCCCAGCACTAGGGTGAAGTTCAGAGGTTTAAAGATAGAGTCTGTGAGCTCTGGTGGCCTCATCTTCTAATGCAGAATCGAGTTGTGATGTCATGACTGAGTCTGGGGTTCATGCAGGTCATATTCCCCATGTGCTCAGAGCTGCATGGCTGCAGAAGGCATGCACTAATGTCTGAGGGCCTGCTGTGAGCTTTATTCTAGACTGAGGCTAGAAAGTAGGAGGCAGTGGGAAGAGGGGATGGTTCTGTGGGGCTCCTGGCCAGTGCATTTTGGGGGCCATGGGAAGGAACAAGGAACCTGAGGGATCCAGAACCCTGAGTCACACAGAGGCAGCCCTGGGCTGTGGGCTGGTCTGAACAAGTTATGTAGGTTTGCATACCAGCTGACAGTCAACTGTGGCTAAAGCCCGTCCTGCCCACAGGCTAATCTTCCACTGCTGCAACGAGAGCTCCTGCACTGTGCCCGCCTAGCCAAGCAGACACCTGCCCAGTACCTGGCCCAGCATGAACAACTGCTTCTGGATGCCAGTGCCACCTCCCCTGTCGACTCTTCTGAGCTCCTGCTGGAAGTCAATGAGAACGGCAAGAGGAGAACACCTGACAGGTAGCAGCCTTTCACAAATTCACAGGACGGGGAGATGACCCAAGGCAGCCTCTTTCTGCCATAGCTCTGCCAGACAGCTGCTTCAGTCTATTATCTACGGCAGAACTGATCAAGTGCTGCTAATACTGCTGTGTGCTTCGGGGGCAGCTTGGTGACACTGGGTTCTGCAGCATATACTGCCCTATTTGAGCAATGGACCCAGGGTCTCTGGGATCCCTGGAGGACAGCAGCTCAGGAAGAGGTCTATCCACCAGAACTCATTTTTTGTGTTATTTGTAGACCCTGAGTGACCTAGAGCCTAGGGCCTATGGTAGCTGGGTTGGACTGGACCCCTTGACTGGCCACAGAGGTACTGGTCCTACCACTGTACTACAGTGGGGACCACGCCTGGCCATGGGACCCTGGATGTCTCCCTCTCCCCATTCTCCACCAGGAGTACCAGAGTGGGGGACCACAACCCAGTGGGGCTCCTCTGAGTTTCTGCCTCCACTCTATCTGCTCCCCTCACCTCTGTTATTACCATCTGTGCAAGACTGAGACTGATATCCATTGGCCATTTGTTTTTTTGATCAGGACCAAAGAGAATGGGTCAGACCGGGACCCTCTGCACCCCGACCACCTCAGTAAGCGGTCCTGCACCCTGAGCCCTGCCCAGCGCTGCAGTCCCAGCAATGGGTTACCCCACCCTACACCACCCCCACCCCCACACTATCGCCTTGAGGACATGGCCATGGCCCACCACTTCCGGGACTCCTACCGACATCCTGATCCCCGAGAGCTGCGGGAGCGCCATCGGCCCCTTGGTAAGTAGTGTGAGAATGCCATTGACCCCTTGAGGTATGGATACAGAGAGTGTGTGAACCCACATGTATAAGCCTGCATGTGCTTGTATTAGAGTTAAGTGTATTTATTTAGGGGCTCAGTCAGCAGCTGCTGTACCTATGCTCTAGTGGAAGATACTGGAGCTGTAACCAATGCCACATTTGTCCAGGAAGGAAATAGGTGGAAGGAACCAGTAGCCACCCCAGTGGCCAGGTAACCTGACATGCACCCTCAGAGCGAATTTGCCCCTTCTCACACACAGAATAGCACTAGGGCATAGAACACTATCCTGGGGACCAGCCTTTACCACCCTCCTGGGCTGGGCAGCCTAAGGCCAGAGTAGGGCAAGGCTACCAGCAGGGCTGCCTAGCTTTCCTTGAATCCAGAAATGGGCCATGTGACTATCCTGTGCCTCAGTTTCTCTCTCTGTCAAAATGGCTGTGTGAGAGCAGGAGCATTGACAGAACACCTGGCCCCGTTGTTGATGACAGGGACAGCAGCTGACACTGAGCACATGCACTCTCATTTCTCAGCCTGTACTCACACCTCCAAGGAAACCGAGGCACAAAGAATAAATACAAGTGGGGGCAGTCACGGATGGTTACAGCAACACCTGCCTAGCCCAACCAGGCTATACCCCACTGTGTTGGAAAGGAATGCTAGAAATGGCCATCCAGGGTCACTCAGGACACCTATAGGGTCCCAGAACCAGGTCAGCAGAGGCCTCTCCCTACCCCCTCACACTGTGGAAGCTTCCAGGGCCTGGGCCTAGGCAGCAGGTGACAGTGTCTGGCTCACCACAGCCGGGTCAGGCAGGTGCTAATTCCCACCCGCTTCTGCTAATGCAAAAATAAACGCCAGCTGTCGCACAGATCTCAGCCTCTATTTTAGTTGGGGCGTTGGCACAGGCCCCTCGTGGGCAACCAGAGAGGCTGCTGGATGACGGCTGTGGCCACTCCCTGCCCTTCTGCCACTCGAGGAAGGCATTTCAGGTTAGGGTACTAGGAGATCCGTAGGCACTGGTGGCAGGTTTAAAGAGAGGCTTTGCCCCCAGGAAGCCTGGATTGGCACCAGGTCACCTACACAGCCTCAGTTACTACACTGGGAGTATTTGACATTGCAGGAAAACCAAGAGATCCATCATGCCCCTCATGTCCCAGCCAGTAACAACCCACACCCCACCACACCCCATTTGGCCATCCCCAAGGTCGCAGATCCAGGCTGGCTTACACCATACACTGCCTCCCCCACTTCCTGCCTATGGACAGACATGCCCCTTCACCAGCCTCAGTCTCCTCATCTGTAATATGGGAAAGATGGACCTTCTCACCAACATCAGAGCAGAAAGAAAGGAACAGTGCTTAGCACCAAGCCCTGCTTGGGGACACCCCTCCCCCACCAAGCTTACCAGATTATCTTGGGATCTTTTTAACTACTCACTATGTTAAGAACTAGGCAGAGTCAGGAAACTGAGGTAGAGAATGGCAAGATAAGGGCCCCAGAATCTCATGGGGAATGAGCCATCCTGGCTTGCTACTTTGTCTGATCCTGCTGCCAGCAGATCTGATCCCAAGATCACACTCAGGGCTGGTAAGCACCCATGCCACAGTTCAGCCTGGGGACCCAGAGGTAAACACAACATACCATCTTTCTTCATGGAGCTGACAGTCTGGGAGGTTAGAATAAACAGGGAAGCCTTGTACCTAGGGACCAGAGACACACATGGCCTGAGGAATTCCAAAGACTCTGCAGCTGTAGAGGGGCCCTGTGGCCTGGACTTTGAGGAATGCATAGGAGTACAGATATTTGAGAGGAAGTCATAAACACACACAAGTTGAGCAGCTGCACAGAGGCCCTGAGGTTTCTGGACCATGATAAGACAGACCCTTAAAGTGGATCTAGAGCTGCCTATCAGGAATAGGCATAGAAAAAGCAAGAGGAGCTGGATTAGAAGGCTAGTAGGAAGGGAATGAATGGCCAAGGCAGAACCAGGGATGACAAATGTTTTATCCTATTCCTGGTGCCCTGAGGTAGGAATGGTACTTAGGAAGTAGGAGGCACCTGGGAGTGGGGGGCAGGACCTGAGATCCATGTCAGGGCTTAGTTATGAGTAAGTATGGGGCATGGCACCTGCATGGGGGCCTAAATGTGTATTGCCCTTTCTTCAGCCATGCCTGGGTCTCGACAAGAAGAAGTGATTGACCATAGGCTCACAGAACGTGAGTGGGCAGAAGAGTGGAAACACCTCAACAGTGTGAGTGTCCAGGTGGGGTTACTGGGCCCCTGTGATTTCCAGAATGTCTTCCCATCTCTGGATCCTAAGGCTGGGGTGGGTAACAACACTGAGTCTGGGCTCTTCTGGGTTCAGCATCTCCTGGCAAGACCTGTCTAGGGCCTGCTGTCTGCCTGTCCCTGTATGGAGCATCATTGTCTATTGTTGACCTATCAGGGTGCTGTGAGAGATCAGAGACAAGGATGCTGAACCTTGCAGACAGGTCCTTCCTCCTCCACTATTTCCTGTTCAGAGACCTGCAGAATAGAGCCCCAGTGGTGTAGGACATCTTATGGTAGGTGCCTGAGCCCCTGGCCAGGCCAAGCGGACCGTGTCTCCATTCCTCTGACCACCATGCACCCTGACGTGTATATCCCCTACCTGCTTCTTTCTTGGGAATGTTCCCAAGGCATATTGCTCTCAGAGTTTCGAAGGAATGCCCCCAAGCCTCTACCCTACATCCAAAGATGTTCCCATTCAAGTTGGGTGCCCACAGGCACTAGGAGCCATTCACTGTGGGGAGCCAAGGTAGATTTCTGTGCCCTGCCTTCAGGGATGGTGAGCTGGCTCCCTGACCACCCCCTCCATGTTGGATGGCCACATCTGGCCACAGCCCCGGTTCCAACGTACTGAAGGCCCTGCCACCCACCTGCAGCTCCTGAACTGCATTATGGATATGGTGGAGAAGACACGACGATCCCTCACTGTGCTGCGCCGGTGCCAGGAGGCTGACCGTGAAGAACTCAACCATTGGATCCGGTGCTACAGTGACTCCGAGGAAGGGAAGAAGGGCCCCAGTCCCTCCTCAGCCCGGCCCCTCAACAGCTGCAGTGGCCCTGAGGGGTCTCAGCTAGGTATGTACCAAGGAAGAACATGGAAGACCTATAGTGAGGGGTTGCTAGCCCTACACAGTCTCTGTAGGATGCCTTTAATTCCCCAGAAAGCTGGCCAACAGTCAGGCCTTACTTAAACAGACAGCATCACTTGGAAAAGGGGGCCTTTTTCACTTGCAGAAATATGTCCCAGGTTCTAGTAGGCCAAGCTTAGGAGGTGGTACTTAGGGGCTTCTATTTACCCGTGCACCACAGTGGTGACCACAGAGACTAGGAGAGGTCTAGGACATTCCCAGTTCCCAGCCTGGATCCATGTTCGCTGGCTATAGAGCATTGCCACCCCAATCTACCCTTTCCCCTGGTGGCATGTGAAGCCCTCTTTCCCAGGAACAAATGTCCCTTGCCTTCAAGTCCTGGCCAGAGTGGAAAGTAATCTAGTGTGGAACAAGGCAACTGAAGTCCCCATCTTGTATATGACACTGTATCCCTGTCCCTTTGTTTCAGATGTGCACCGGGATTTCATGCCCAGGACCCTCTCTGCCTATATGCCTGAGGAGATCTGGAGGAAGGCTGGTGAGTAAAGCTATAGGAATAGACCTAGGGACAACCATAAAAGTGTCTGTGACTCAGATGGACTCCACATGCAGCAAGTTCGTAGATTTATACAAGTTTGGGCTACACACACACACACACACACACACACACATATAGAAATGCAGAGAGAGAGAGAGGAGGGAGGGAGGGAGAGAGAGAGGGAGGGAGGGAGGGAGGGAGGGAGGGAGGGAGGAGAGAGAGAGAGAGAGAGAGAGAGAGAGAGAGAGAGAGAGAGAGAGAGAGAGAGAGAGAGAGAGAGAGAGAATATGAATATGAATCAGGTACTTACAATCAAAGTTCACACAGTCCCCTTCTGGCTTCCCATGGATAGGCCCAAGCCAAGGAGCAGACCTGTTGTCCTTAAAGCAGGTCCTTCACAGCAGCAGTTTGCCTGAGCCTGTTAGAACAGAATCCTGAACACCAGAACCTGGGGTGGGAACTATCCCTCACCCTCTGAAGATGCACACCGTTGTGAGGACCATGACGCTAGCAGGTGCAGGTTGAGCTTTGGAAGCTTACCCATAGCTCTGTTCCTCTTGACCAGGGTTTGCCTACATGCCCAGGACTCGCACATTCATCCACATGCTGTGGGATATTTTGATTGTACTCTGACACTCCCGAGACTGCCAGTAAACTTCACCTGGAATCAGATGACAGAGCTAGCTCCTAGCTGACCAAAATTAGCCATAGAGATTTTGGAAGACTCAGGACATTTAGAGAGACACAGGAAGTGGTAGAGAGAGGCTTAGGGACATCGGCCTTTTGGCTTGAGGAAAGAGAAAAAGAGGTTACTGTTCGCTTCTCTGCCACTTCTCTACTCCTATATCTGACTCCCAAGTTTTTATTGATAAAGAACAATTAGATAAACACTTCATCCACAAACCTGTTAGCAAAGGTATGGGATCACTGACTTGTGCCTTTGTGTGTACACATACAATGTACAGTAGGCATGTGTGCATACAACTGCATCTAGGCTCCTACCCAAGTTGTGAGTGTAGAGGGTCCAGAACCCCAGGTAAGTTAGCCTGGGTGACTGCTAGCCAGTGTGACCACAAGCCCACCTCTGTGCTTCACAGAAGAAGCCGTGAATGAGGTGAAGCGCCAGGCGATGTCAGAACTACAGAAAGCTGTGTCTGATGCAGAGCGCAAAGCCCATGAACTCATCACCACAGAGCGTGCCAAGATGGAACGAGCCCTGGCTGAGGCCAAGCGACAGGCCTCAGAGGATGCCCTGACTGTCATCAACCAACAAGAGGACTCCAGTGAGGTAAGGTCACTGGCCACCTCCATACACCATTTCTGCTGAGGGCTGACCAAACCCGGGTTAGAACACTACACCCGTGCAACCTCTAGCCCAGTGGCATAAACAAGCATGCAGTCTGTTCAGCACTGCTTGTCAGTAAATACAGAGACCCAGGAGGCCTGGTGGGGCCTTCCCAACCTGCAAGTAGCAGTAATTGAAGGTCCAATGAGTAATGGTTTGTCTGGGGGCCTGGCACATGTTGGGGCCCATATCACAATAAAGCCTGTTGATACAAACCCTCTCTTGTTTAATATGTGAAAGCAAGAGGTTTAAGGAGACTTCAGGACCCTAGGGCCTCCCTCAGCTTCTGGCTCACAGGTAGATGCTCTATGAACAGGAAGGAGAAAGCCATGAGAGCTATGCCCTTGTGTGTGTGAATGTCTGAGCACTGTGCTCCATTCAACAGGGTAGGTGAAGGAGGACTTTCTGAAGACTGTTTCCTGTGCACCAGGAGTTTGGTTGGTAGGACATCAGGAACAAAGGAATAGCCGTTCTGGGAAAGTCATTCATGCGCTGCCCTGTAGGAAGGGTCAGGTCTCCAACACTAGAGAGACAAAACCAGGTAGATCCCAGGCTCATTGGTTCACCATGTTAGCCTAACTGATAAGCTCTAAGTCAGTGATTCTCAACCTTCCTAATGCTGTGACCCTTTAATACAGTTCCTCATGTTGTGCTGACTCCCAACCATAAAATTATTTTCATTGTTATTTCATAGCTGTAATTTTGCTACTGTTATGAATCATAATGTAAATATATGTGTTTTCCAATGGTCTTAGGCAACCCCTGTGAAAGGGCCATTCAACTTCCTAAGAGGTCAAGACCCACAGGTTGAGAACCACTGCTCTTAGCCAGTGAGAGACCCTATCTTAAAATAATGTCAACAGTATCCGGGAATGATACCAGAGATTGTCCTCAAGCCTCCACATGCACACACATACGTATGTACCCACACACTCATGTGCTCATGCACACATGCATACACACACCAGATCTCAGAGCTCATGAGATGGGCAAAGAGCCAGCCACCAGAGTGTTGGGTATTTGGAGGTGAAGATAGTTTGGGAAGTACATCACTAGATGTGACATATGAGCAGACCTGGGGAAAGGGAACAAAGAGTCCTCAAGTATCACGGCCATCCTGATGAAGAGGCCAGCAAGGCCCTCATGGGCAGAGCAGTATAAGCCAGAGAATAGCAGGCAGGGGTGAAGCCAAGGACTTTAGAAACCAAATAGAGACAAGAAGTAGGCTTTGATTCCTGAAGCAGGGACAGCCTCCCAGTCCCACAGCCCAGCCACCATACAAGGGATCTCCAGCCATCCCCTGAAGGAAATATAACCAGAAAAGGGAATCCTGGTCAATGACCACCTCCCCTCCCAAAAGGGGTCAGTGAATGCTTGACAGCTTAGTTGCTTCTTCCCTTTTCCTGGGTAAAACCTAACTGGGTTTTAGCAGCTGTGAGTGGACACACACACACACACACACTCACACTCACACACACACACACACACTCACACACACACACCACACACACACACGCACACACTCACACACACACACTCACACTCACACACACACACACACACACACACACACTCACTGTTTCAGCAGTGGCAGGTTATCTGGGCATGTGCCATCTGTCCCATCCTGACCATCTCCTTTGCCCTTCTCCATATCCAGAGCTGCTGGAACTGTGGGCGCAAGGCCAGTGAGACTTGTAGTGGCTGTAACGCAGCACGCTACTGTGGGTCCTTTTGTCAGCACAAGGACTGGGAGAAGCACCATCATGTATGCGGCCAGAGTCTGCAGGGCCCCGCAGCTGCAGTGGCTGACCCTCTGCCTGGACAGCCTGATGCTACTGCCAGTCCCAGTGAAGCCGGCTCGGCAGGGCCCTCCCGCCCCTGCTCTCCGGGCCCACCAGGCCCACTGGACGCTGCTGTGCCCCGCTGACCTCCAGATCCAACGCCCAGCCCATGGACGCCATGCCCTGCCAATCTCCTGGCCCCACCTTGGCCCACTAGATGCCTGGAGCTGGCCAGGTGGAGTCACTGCTGCTACTGCTTCTCTCCAAAAGAAAACACAGATCCAACGAAACTGCATTCATGCAGCCTCAGCTACCTGACAAGGTCTTGCCAGGACCTCCTACAGCCTCTCTTCACAAGCATCCTCAGATATCACTGCGGAGCTGCAGACAGTGGCTCTGACAGAGTACGGCCAGCTCTGCCACTGTCTGTCCCCTCTGTGTCTGTCTCTGTTACTGTCTATCTTTCATGTCTGCCTCTGTGTTTCTTGATGTCTTGGTCTCCTTCTGTTTCCAAGCCCTGACTCTCCCTATGTCTCTGATCCTCTGTCTTTGTCTCTGAAGACCACATGCTTTCTCTGTAATCAGAGAAACCTAATTGGTGGCTTTTATTTTCAGTGAAGAACTTTTGGAGATTTTGTTTTGTTTTGTTGGCAAACAAGCTACTTAGAAATGGACAAAGAACTGTGGGGTTCTCCCCATTCCTTATTAGAAAGGGAAGAAACTGTGATTTTTCTATCCAGAACTGCTGCCTCACCCAGCCAACCCCAGAGGGATCGGCACATGCAGCAGAGATGGTGAGAACAATTTCAATTTCCAACTCAAGAAGCATTTTTTTGTTTCAGGTTTTATTTCTTTTTTTAATGACAAAGTCTTTGGCTTTAAGTAAAAAAAAAATCCAAAAAGTTTTTTTTAAGCAAAGGAAACATACCTGTAAACTACCTTGCCAGCTAGCCAGCCAAGGATGCCAGACACACCTCGCTCCAAAGGAAATCCAAAAAGCAAACTCAAGAAATCAAAATCCAAAATTTATTTTTATCACTGCCAAAGTATTTTTTCATGGTGTTTCCATTCCTGGGTTTGTTTAGATGTTGGTCTTTTATTTTGGCTTTGATTTTGTCAGGGGGTGTTGGGTCACTGGGATTTGGTGGGCTGGGTCAAGAAGAAACCTTTTGTTCCTTTTTGACTAGTGGGCAGCATCCTTGCTGGGCAAAGGGGTCAGCAGCAAGACATGACCCTCAGCACCATATCCAGAAGCCCCAGTCAGCATGAGCCCGAGTGTTGTGTGCCCTAGGGCCATGTCTGTGTGTCCCTGTATGCAAGGAAGGCACCTCCACCTGTCCTCACACCTTCTGCGACTTCTCATAATTCATTTTCCACCTGTGAAAAAAAGTGCTAAAGTGTTCTTCCCAGAGAGAGCACAATTCCTAAATGAAACTGTGACAATCTTTTGGGTTGATTCTTGACTGCTTTTGAAAGCATAAGGAGACAGCGAATCACGCTTTCTTGGTTTTCCCTCCTCTACCTCTCTGCTCTCCCAGTCCCATCCGCCCTCACTGCAGCCCTCTCTCCCCACCCCAGTGTCTTGCTGTGGCTACCGTCATTTCTTTCAAACTTTTACAGAAAAAAAAGGAAAAAAAAACACAAAAGCCAGCAGCCACCACCTCCCCTGGAAGACTCAAGCCCAGCTGTACATATCCCTGTGTTGCAACCCCAGTGTTCGTCTCCAGCCGTGGGAGTGATGGTGATGCTTGTCCACCGGCACTCCAGTCCTTGCCCACCCTGCCCTTCACCCGCTCAGCTCCCTCAAGGATTCAAGGAGGAAATGAAGGAAGGAGGCTCATGCCTGTACCAAACAGAAAGACAGCAGACACAGTCCGGGTCTGCACCTGTGTGTGGCTGCAGCAAGCTACAGGCCTAGCGTGCAATATGGGGGAGTTACTCCTGAACCCTGGGCCCAAGGGGGCCCTGCCCAGAGCAAGGTGTGCAGCGTGTGTTAATGTGAATGTAAATAGTCTCCACAGAGGTCCCAACCACAGCGTCAGTACTGAGGAGATGTTTGCCAAATAAAAAGAAATTAAGACAAACCACAGAAGTATGTGAAATTTAGGAAACACTTTGAAAGGAATCTGAGCTGTGGTCCTGTGGGCTTGTTTGGTGGCTGGTATTTCTTCACAACTGTAAAATTCATTCTTTATGAGAACATTATATGGAAGGATCCTGTTAGGCACCATCAACCTGGTGCTACCCTGAATGGAGCCTGACAGCAACCCTCGCTCTGAAGGCCAAGGTAGATCTCATCCTCTGGAAGTTTCCTGAGGCACAGCCCTCCAAGTCCACAGAGATGTATTTTTGTGGGTTTCAGAGAAGCCAGGACACATGGCGACCTCCTGCCCTTCCTTCTAGTGGACCAGTTGCCCTGAGCGTCTGCCTGTGAACACGGAGTCTGTGTGCTGGTAGAGACCTACCTCCTGTCCTGTCACAGGAAGCATCACTGGATTCCATTCCCAGATGCACCTCATGCAATGCTTCTTGTCTCTGTTACAGCATGCAGCATCCTTGGTCCTTCCAGGAGGGCCAGCCAGTGACCCTTCATAGGAAAAGCTCTGGGTGGCAGTAGGTGGTGAGCACCATGTGTGTGGGGAAATAAAGCTAGGTCCTCAGGCTGTGCTTAAGAGCTGTATAGTCTCTAGAGGTCTGGGCCAGGAGTCCTGAGGTGGCTTCCCTGATGACCCTGCTGTCAGGACTTGAGAGGGCCTGCACATATGTGGTGCAGCCATTCTGAGGTAGGTCACAGAGGGTCCCTTACCTGAAGGCCCACCAGTTTACTTTAGCTTCTTGTACCTCCTTCCCTACCCACACCACCCTTATCTCCCTTTTAGGGACAAGAAGGCCCACCAGGGACAACAAAATGCTGCCCAGCCAAATTAGCCTCCAGGAACCAGGTTCCATATTTAGGTTCAGCAGAGCCCCCACCTACCCTACACTATCAGATGAGAGTTGGCCAGCAGCAGCTGTAGACACCCAGGATGAGGGACTGGCTAGCTGATAGGAAGAGCTCAGCAGTCAAGGGGCAACTGCAGAATCAGGTGGCAGTAAGGTGGGGGTGGGGAGGGCTAAGTGAGGAAACTGGGACCGGAAACAGCAGGAGGGAATCCCAGGCATACTGCTAAGTTCTGACTGGATGTCTGGAGGAGTCCTGAATCAGGTGTGAAGGCCCTGGAAAAGCTGTGGGCGCTGTGATCAGGCTTTAGCTACCAAAAGACCTCATAGGAGAACCAAACAACCTCAAAGCTTTGGAAAGAACAGGGTTCATGGGTGTTCTTTGTTGGGAGGTATACCCTGGGTGGCCATAATCACAGCATGCTCTTGGTTTCAGCCTACGGTCTACCTGGGGCTCTCCACAGAGCAGGGAGAGAGTCATACTCCATCCCCGACTCCTGCTGAGAGCCCCTCCTGCTATCTTCTCCAAGAACAATTGCCAGGTCCTGCCTCCTAGTAGCCACAAACATGAACCAAACCCCTACGGGATGTGGCTTTTGACAGAGTCTTGCTCCCCGAAACCCCAAATCAAAATGCAACTTTATTTCCTGTTCTGAGGCCAAAGCTAAACCAGGAAGGCTGAGTGCGGATGGCAGGTGGCAGACGGAACTCTCCAACCCCAAGGCCCAACCCAGATCCTGTCTCATGACCTTATGACTTCTTGTCATGTGTCCTTCGGCCTCTCCCATCCCTCCTCTCATCTCCTTGTCTAACCCTGCCCTAAACTCAGACTGGCCTTTCTCCAGTCTGCTGCCTAAGGGCTGCCCAGGAGGATTCTTTCCAGCTCAGTCCTCACACCTGCACAGGAACAGAGGCCAATGGCTCTCGCTCCACATATGGTCACAGGTGTATAGGAGCAGGCTGGAGTATACTACAGCTTATGTCCTACTGCCTGATGAGGTCCTACTGCCAAGGTGAGAAGTCTCAGCCCTCCTCCCCCCAAAGGAGTCAGTCAACAGGGACATCTGTCAGAAGACCTGAGAAGGTCATTGATGGTGGAGAAGGACAGAATAGGAGGCATGGCTATGGGCAATGCTATCTCAAAGCCACAGTGGACAGAGATCAGGATGGGTCCCAATGTTCTCTTTTAGTTTCTCCAAATAAATCATTAGGCTGACACCAAAGTATCATCTCTGGCATCTGTCCATTACTGTGCTCCTCAGCCTAACCACACTGATAGATTGACACTTTCCTGAGTCCATCCTTCTGACTTATCCAGCCCTCTTTCCATGAACCCATTAACTTCCCCATTATCTACGTTGGCCCACCTGCTCTCCATCTATCATCCATGCGTCCGCTCATCTACCTGCCCACACCACCCAAACTGTCTTTACCTCACCATCCCAACATGCCATTCTTGTGTCTGTGTTTTCCAGTCCCACACACAGCCATCTGTAGATCCATCTTTCCTATCATCTCCCTACCCACTATACTCAGAGTAGTATCAGCTTCCTCAGTGTACCAAAGACACTAGGCCCTCCCCTGCCCTCCACTCTGTTTGCCCTGAGCTGGCCAGGGGTACCCTAAGAATATCCACCCATGAGTCAACAGCCCTCGGTGCTCTGCCCCACCATGGTCTGTTTTAGACAACTCCAGAAATGAGTTCCAACCGCAGGCATTGTGAACAGATTGGACAAGTTCTTATGGCAACTGTGACACATCTGGACCTGCTCGGGAAGAGGAGCCAGCAACTGCTCAGGAGCTCTGTAATGCTATGCTAGGCAACCATATTGCCTGAAAGTAGAGGCAGTCCTTGACTCCAGGAGTCTGCCAAGAAGAGGGATCTCTAAAGAGGAAAGCAAGCCAATGCTGGCCTCCTCTGAGACAGTAGCACTCTTAGGACCCTGTTCCTCGGAGCACTTGGGTACCATTCCCATCTTGTCAGGATCCCAAGTAGCTTAAAGTTGAACCTGTCCAGCCCATTCCTACTGGATCCACTGATGGTAGGGGGAATTTGCCAGGTGTTTGGGACCATCCACAGGCTCCCCTGATAACTCATTACTCTTCCTGAAGCTCCTACCATGTAGGGAAGTCTCTAAAATGAGCCTGGGGAGAGACCCCTGGGTTACCATCGTGTTGGCAAGAGGAAGAGAAGATAGAGAAACTGGAGGTGAGCTGGGTTCAGGGGAGCTATCTACTCCTGTAGACAGCTTACAGACAAAGCTCAGAACAGTCTGTCAACAATGTGCACAAGTCCCCAAATTCTAGGATACTCTATCTTGTTTTCTGTTCCTTTTCTTTCAATTCAGTTGGCTCTTAGAGTAGCAACCCAGACTGGGAAACAGGAATGCGGCATCTGACTCAAAAGTGCAGCCTACTCACAACATCCTCAAAGGAACAGCACCGGCTCCCACCCAGACAAGGCCCAGCAGCCCTCAGCTCACACCATATCTGGGGTGGGCCACGGGTTAGGCCAGAGCACAGCCACGCACAGCCTGCCCGTGAACCATTGCTTTTCCATTTCTTTTCCTCCTGTGGGAGTTGGGAGGAAAATACTGGATGTTTTCTTCATGAAAAGCTGTGGCCCACAACCCTCCATGTCTGGGTGCTGTGTCATACTGCCCACTGCTATCTTCTGCTGTTCTGTGTGTTTGCCCTGTGGGCCATGGACACGATCAGGTTAATCACATCTGTGTAATAAAGTGAACGTTTGCTATGAAGGCTTGCTGCTCCTCCAGACCATTGCATACATGCGATCACCATGTTGGAAGACCTGATGCACAGACAGGGGTAGATGTGGTATTCAGTTGTACCAGACAAAACTTGGGGTGGACAAAGGAGGGAAACTTCTGCTCCATGTGCTGCTGCTATATCCTTGGTAAATGGAATCCATCTTGCAAGGCTGGGCCTTAGGGAGTTCTGGAAAATCCTAGACCCTAACCTGACTTATATCTGACTGGCTCACTATTGGGACCAAGTTCATTGAACTGTCCACATGAGGAAAACAGTGGACCTGGCTGAGGTAAACACTGAAGGTTTGAGGGACACTGAGGACCTGAAGGGGACACTGAATCTGAGGAAACACTAAAGGGATACTTAAGACCTGAAGGGAAACTCAGCACCTGAGAAGACACTGAGGGAATTCTGAAGGGCATCCTGAGGGAAACTCAAGCCGTAGGGACACTGGCTCTGAGAAAACACTGAAAGGGTACTTAAAACCTCGGAGAATACTGAGGACCTACGAGGGGCACACAGAAAGAGCCATCTCTCTGTGCTCCTGTGGCCGCTGTGTCCTGGCTAACTGGAATCCCTCTGGAACCAGATACTGGCCATAGTGCTTCAGGCTGCACTGGTAGCTGCCTGGAGGAAGCGACTATCACTAATACTGACCTAACTTGGAACATGGTGTATTTTTGAAGGCATTGTTGGGAAGGCCAGCATGGGGGTAAGCTGTTCCTAGGCCAGGCGCCTGGCTGGAGCCCTACTGGGCCTGGTGTGTCAGCAATCTCAGGATAGCACAAGGGGGAGGAGGGTGACAAGGTTTTTCCACTGCCGACACTGAGCTCAGAGGGGAGACTGGCCAGGAACTGGGCTCCATCCAGATGGTCTTGGCTTGGACACAGCCTGCCATGTCCTATCTCCCACATGGAAGTACAGGAAAGACTCAGACAGAACCCCAACAGAGCTTCACACGAGGAGGTGGCGGACATGTAGGAGGACAACAGTGGCCACTTGTCTATCCCTGTTCAGCTCGTCCTGTATGACCAGCTTGTTCTCTGTGTAGACGTGGATGCTGCCTCTGAGTAGCCCTGGCCTGCCAGGAAAGACCTAGGGAAGTAACTGAAGCAGGACTGGGAAGAGGCCAGTAGTCGCTCAGTCTCTGGTCAGGACTACTTTATCTCAGGTCATGTGACTATCTCTCACAGTCCTTCCCTTATGAGGCATGGAGGTATGGCAGTTATTATTGTTATTGAGTTGTTTATGACAGGGCCTCACTCTAGAGCCCAAGATGGCCTTGAACTTGTGATCCAAGTGCTCAGTATAGGTATGAGCCATCACATGAGGCATGACAGTTTTTCAGCCACTTTGTAGAATAGAATGAGCACATAAGTCGGGCTAGGGGTCAGAAGCCCAGTCTCCTGGGGCTGCAAGTGCCACAGCTACCCCCACCTCTGCCTCTCAACCCCTCTGCCCACCCCAGAATGTGGGAGGTGTCAGCCACCAAGCTCCACATATACAGTGTAGCTCACTAAACCTATCTTCTACCCCAGCCCAGATTCTAAGAAAGACTCTCTTGGCTAGCCTGGGGGCAGGGTCACAGAAGTGTGACTGTGGATCTGAGGACGTGGAGTCACCTGAAGGTCCCTGTGGAAACCTCAGGGCTACAGTAGCATGCAGAGCATGAGGCTCAGCAGAATAGCCTCAAGGAGCGTTGGTGCCTATGTCTAGCTAAAAGTCAGCAATGTGCTCGGAGATCTGCCCCTCTGCCAGAAGTCCCAGGAAGGAGTCAATGGATGCAGGCCGGCAGCAGTCCTGTAGGGTGAGGGCAGAGAGGCAACAACCGATGAGCAGGGCTGGGTACCCACCACCCAATTTGTACAGTTCAGCTTGAGCCTCTCTTGTGGCAAAAGGAATTATCTAAATAGTGACTGAGTTTAATAGGCTCCCATCTAAAGGTGTCCTGCACAGTGGGGAGGGAAGTCTTTGAGGAACTGATAGAGCAGAATATGGAACCCTACTCTGGATGAGCCCAGACCTGAGCTCTTATCTCTCCGGGGGACCTTGCTCCAACTGACCCAGTGTAGCCAGGCACCCACAGTGCCACCTCTCCCTGAAATCAGTCCTTTTCGTGACTATAATTGGGTAACTTGACCCAGATCTGATTAATTAGGGCCTATTGTCAGAAGTGTGGCTATGGCATGCTGCATACACCAAGGGAGACTGAACCCAGCTCATGTGAGTACCACCCTGCCCCACCCACTTTGGACTCATCTACTCTTTTGAGGGTTTTTTTTGGGGGGGTTGAGACAAGGATTCTTTGTGTAGTCTTGGCTGTCCTGGAACCTGCTCTGTAGACCAGGCTGACCTCAAACTCACAGAGATCCGCCTGCCTCTGCCTCCTGAGTGCTGGGATTAAAGGTGTATGCTGCCACCACCCACCCTCTTCCAAGTTTTGGGAGTGCGGCTGGTGAGAAAAACAGAGAGGAGATCTACAACCTTTGACCCTCTGGGAGGCCTTCCCATGTCCTTTAGTGGAAGCAGCTGGTCAGAATGAGGACTTAAAAGGGAGGGCCCCAAGGCAGATGCAGCTGCGGAGGCCAGCGAGCAGTCCTGAAGAACCAAGGTCTGCCCAGCCCACCCTTTTTGCATACCCATGTGGCCCTTGCTGAGCAATGATCTCTTCCCACCCCCCACTGAAGCCTGGCTCCAGAAAGTCTCCTCAGATCCTGAAGCCCAAGGTTGGGGGGCCTGGGGCAGGACTGAAAAGACACCTTTGGGGTCAGGGGCTGGGAGTGGAACAGAGAGTGATGAGGAAGTTGAGGAACATGAGGAAGATGCAGGCTTCCTGCTGTCCACGCTGGAGCAAGAAAACCTGGCCAAGTCTCCAGGATACAACCAGGTAGCACCCTGTCATGATCCATGGAGGCAGGCGTGGACCTGGGCATGGGGTGAGGGGCACAGCTGACTGGGAGGTGAAAGGGCCAGTGCTCCCATCTGCAATGGAGTCAATGCTGCAGACCACAGGGGCCTCTGACTAAGGGGTTGTGTCCTGGGGTGGAGGTGTCAGGGGCTTCTGGGGCCTGAGTCCCTAATCCTGGACTATGGCTACAAGAAGAACAGGGTGACCTAGGTCATCCCTTAGTAGCCATGACTCTTCTGAGGCTGGCTGGCCACACCTGCCCTCCATCCTAAAGGAGCTTGCAGGTCACCTCCCCCATGTTTACTGTGGGATGACCAGCAGGAGTTGGAGGCCATCAAGCTGAAGCTGTGGGCCATGGAGCATGCTGAGGTCCTGCCGGAGCCACCCTATGTACAGAGAAAGGCCACAGAGGAAAAGGGGGCTGAGGTCAGACAGCTGCTGAGCCCTGAGATCATGGGTAGGAACCTGGGACCCTTGCTGCCCCTGTCCCCAGATGGGTGGACAACTATCCTCCCAAGTCCTTGACCACTCAGCTAAGATTCTACATCCCACCTGCTCTCAATGGAGAAGTACTCAGCATGGACTCTGAGAGGACTATTGAGGGGGCATTCTGGATCACTCCACAGTATCAGGCCTTGCTAACCCACAATGTGACCCTGGAAGCCTGGGGTGACCTTCCCTGGGGACATGAGGAATGGGCTCCTCAATGAGGGCCTCCTGCTGGTCCTGAGGTTCTCTCTCTACAGGCTGCTTCTTCCCTGAGACCCCCAAGGAAAAGGTGGAGGCTGACCACAGATCTGTCTATGTGGGCAACGTGAGTAGCAGATAGGGGACATCTGGCTGGCTCCAATTAGGGCATTCAGCTGGGCAGACACATCAACATCCACCCTGGATGGGGCTGGCTAAGAGCTTGGGGCAGGAAGCTGTAAGGTTGTAAACTCAAGTGTCTCCCAGGCCAGAAAGAAGGAGCAGGTCTGCAGCAGAGGAAAGGGTGGGCTGTAGCTCCTGGGCAAAACCATGGAGGCGAGTAGTGGCCAGTCCTTGACCATTCAGCTGAAGCTGAGGTCAAGAATTCTGGTTTCTCAACGTGCTGAAACTGGGAGTTCCATGAGATTTATTGGTCCACACAGCTGGCATGAGCCAATACCAGGGGCACAACCAGCTGTCCACATAAGAAGCCCTTGACTGGCTCTCGGCAATCAATCCAGGGAAGGAGTGGGTAAAGCCTCAGCCCATCCCAAGCCAGGGGCCAAGTAACCTTGGGGGAGGATCCTCTGCCACAACCGCCTCAGCAGAAGGGACACAGGGAGCGCCCAGCACTTAAAGCGGGTGTCCTTTCTGAGAGCAGGTGGACTATGGAGGCTCGGCTGCTGAGCTGGGGGCCTACTTCAGCCCCTGCGGGGAGATTCACCGCGTCACCATCCTGTGCGACAAGTACTCTGGACACCCAAAGGGGTCAGTGTGGGGCTATAGTAGGCTGGGCAGTGAGGGTGGGGCTGGCCCTCACTTCTGCCCCATCATCCCCCATCTCTGTCCTCTCCCAGCTATGCCTATATAGAGTTTGCTTCCCAGAAATCTGTCCAGGCTGCTGTGGAGCTGGATGAGAGCACCTTCCGAGGTCGGGTCATCAAGGTACGTTTCCCCAGCTGTCTCCATGCCCCTGGGAACCACCACTGAGCCTCGCTAGCACATTAACTCACAAATTCTTCAACAGGCTCACCTGCCCCAGGACACATAACTACCCCGCCTAACCCTTTGGGTATCTTAGTTGGCTGAGCACTGGTCAGAGTTAGGGCATGATGAAAACCCTCAGACCCAGGGTGGGGCTTGCTTGGTGTGGGTGTGGCTTGGGGAGATGAGCCAGACTCCTCTGTCGGAGGATGCTGGCCATGACCAGGCATGCCATGTGATCACAGCTGCATCCAAGTGAAAGTGGAGGGATAGTTTCTGCCTAAATGGTACCTCCGGGTCAGGAACCCCAAGCCTTGGTCTCAGCCTGGACTCTGACTTCAGGCCACCACAGCAAGAAGGGTACAGAACAGTGTCTTGGACCATGGCATGGCTTCCTTCTGTCCAGGTACTTCCCAAAAGGACGAACTTCCCAGGAATCAGCTCCACAGACCGTGGAGGGCTGCGGACACGCTTGAGCAGCAGGGCCCAGCCCTTCCTACACAACAACCTTCATCGAAGACCTCGGTTCAGATCCCATGGACAGAGCCGGTAAGTGGGCCCAAGTGGGGTCTGAGTCTGGATCTGAGTGGTGACAGGGTTTCTAGAGCCTGATCCTGATGCTGGCTATAGCCAATCTGCACAGCATCATGTTAAGAGAGGACCGCTGTCCCCTCACATGAGCCTTAACTGGCCAGGGCACTTGGGAAGGTGTTCAGTTCAGGGTTCATGGTTTCTACCAGCCTGAACAGGCCCTGTGCAACTACCCTACCTGGTGGAGATACTCCTTCCCAGTCACTAGGACTCTGCAGGTGACATGCATCCCTGCCATGGAGGGTGGGAACCACAGCAGGTTCCTCTGGCCTGAAGTTCAGGTAAGGCTAGAGCTGAGCCCCAGAGCTCCCTCCTCCCCTGGGAGCACCCCCTCAAGAGAGCAAGAAGCCTGAGAAGGTGCCTCCCATAGTCCCCGAGCAGCTTTGATGGTGACTTTAACCCTTACCTAGGTGTCCTCCAGGCCTGTCCCCTCTGAAGGCAACTTAGCTGCCTTTGACCCCATCCCTCTCTGCAGGGGCTGTGGACGGTTCTCACCATGGTTCTCACCATACTGAAAGATGGCCCAGTTTTTAAGTGACCCCAGGAGCTGGGTCAGGAGAAAACAGCAGCTTCCCCACCTACTCCAAACTGGTCTTCAAGCCTGGCAGTTCACAAGGGTCTTTAAAGGTGGCCTAGACACCCATGTCACAATAGGAAGGCACAGGGCAGGGAGATACAGAGGGCAGGAGTGGGAAGAGAAGTCCAGGAGAAGCTGAGATTGGCGTACTGAAGCATTTTTAAAGAAAATAGACACGTGTGTTAATAGTAAAGCATAAATTATTAAACTTGACTATTTTAAGAGCATGTAACAAGTCTCATTTCTTGATCCTCCCTCAGACACAGATTTACTTTGTACCTTTCTCCATGGAGTTCCAGAGAGGGTAGTAATGGGGATATGATCATGAGTCCAGAAAATAGGCCCCTCGCCCTGGCTCTGTCTTATGATTCAATAGACAGTGAGCAGAATTTCACCCCAATTCTGCCTCCATGCCCCCAAGTTGGCTCTCTAGACATACCTGGACTTCACCCCCATACTGCCCTGGAAGGAGTCTTAACTGGCCAATTCAGGAAGCAGAGGTGGAGGCTCTGTTCTAAACAGAGAAAGTGTGTGTGTGCATTTGAGTGTGACAGAGAGAGAGAGAGAGAGAGAGAGAGAGAGTGTGTGTGTGTGTGTGTGTGTGTGTGTGTGTGTGTGTCTGTGTCTGTGTGTCTGTGTGTGTGTCTGTGTGTAGCAAAGACTGGCTGCCCTGAGCTACCACTGTGTACTCAGCAGGAAGAGAACTGGTCAGGCCCAGGTTTGCCCAGTGCAAACACTCTGTGCACTCACCACCATTCCTTGCCTGTGCTCACCTCATTAATTCTTTAAGCCCCAGCAGAGCTGCCAAGTAAACCACCCCAGCACCAGGAGACTGCTCTGGGGACAGGCTGCTGCCCTTCTCTAGACTCCATCAACGCTTGACCTCCCGAAGCCACATTCACATGCCCCTTGCCCTTAATGGAGTGGGTAATGCCCACAAAATGGGACCACATCTTCACCTCCAAAGTCTGAAGGCAGCCGGTGACCTTATTTGAAAAAGGGTCTCTGAAGACATAAGAATTAACTCCAGAACCAGGAATACTTTAATCCCAGCACTTGGGAGGAAGAAACAGGCAGGTCTCGGAGTTCAGGGCCAGCCTGGTCTACAGAGTGAATTCCAGGACAACCAGAGCTACACAGTATGGCCCCATCTCAAATAAATAAATAAATAAATCGGTGTATCCCAGACTGCCACTGGACCACAAATCCAACAGTGGATGAGGCACGAGACAAAGATATGAAGGCAAAGAAGAAAGGCAGTGCCTGAGACAAAACTTACAATGAGGCTTGAAAGTCAAAGGTCTGAGTTGCTGCCACTCCAGGAGCTGGCTAAGGCCTGAAGTAGATTCTCTCTGGGCCTGCAGGAAGCAGCCCTGCCTCCAGTCACTGTGTTAACGCCAAGTCTGTTTGTGGCAGCTTTAGGGTAGCCCCATGAGCCTAAACCACCTTATTCACCTCTGGAAGTGACTGGTTCTGTCCTGACCAGCCAGGGGTGAATGCCACCCAGTGGGCAAATGGTGAGCAGCAAATCTGCCCTAGGGTGGCCTTGAGGGACTTCCCAGTATCAGTGACCTGGCAGGGTTTCACCAAGGATGAAGCCAGTTCCTCATACATTCCAGCCTCAGGATGCCCAAGTCGCTGGATATTTGCTCCTGCTTTCCCTGAACTTTAGACATCTCCCACCAAGGGGATGGCTTTAGTCTTGACATGTTGCTGACACCTCAGTTTGGTGGCTCCTGGTCCTCTTCTGATATATACAGTAAGTTCTCTTCAGAGAGGCCCAGGGGATCTTCCTTTCTGATGAACTCTGGCCTGTCTGGGTCAAGGAGGACAGAATGCTGAGGTACAAACACCCCTCAGCATGGCATCTACATGGTGGTGAGGACCCCCCCAGCACCACACCCCCTGCCATGTGCACGGCCAGTGTCAGTTCACAGCTTCCTCTCCCAGTGTACGGGGGTCAGGCTGCCCTGGCCCCAGGTCTGCAGAAGGATGGTACCAGAAGGTACCAGAAAGGAAGACAAGCAGCTGAGGGCCCCAGACTACCTACAGTAAGTCACTAGCTAACCAGAGGGGAAAGCCTGCTTCATAAAAGGCAGGTAGTAACTATGGTCTCCAATGCCAGCCTAAGGATGAAACCTACCTGCAAGTCTGAAGGCCACATCAAGGCAAGCAGATGACACTGTAAGCTATTTGCCAGAACTTGAGAGTGAGAAGACTCCTAGTGCATACACATAGTGTACACACATAGCACACTTACAATCTGACTATAACTGTCAGAAAACCCAAACAGCAGCAGCTTAAACAGAGAGCTATATTTTATTCTCACATAGTTAAAGCTGATGTGAACATTCCTGGGTGCCCATCAGCCCAGACTCAAGCTCCTTTCTGCTCCAGCCCATCAGCCCAGACTCAAGCTCCTTTCTGCTCTGTCCTCATGTCCTCATCTTACCTCTATTACACTCAAGTTCCAGGCAGGAAAGAAGCAGAAAGTCTTGGGTGCTCTAAGAATCAGCTGAGTCACTTTTAAAGGGTTTGTCCTGCAGGTCTCTCCCTTTACATGCCTTACTCACCTGCCCTGGTGTGATTTAGCCAAGTTTCTCCAGTAAACCTGAGGCTGGCTGTCAGGAGGGAAGGGAGGAGTACTGGGGAACAAGATGCAAACCCCAGTGCAGCTAACAGGTAGGCGACCTCCCTTAAATACTAAGATCCCAAGATTCCACCTTACTGGTGTGCCTGCCTTCTCTTGCCAAACTCAACCTCCTGCTAAAGCCTTTAGCCAAGTACATCTGGGTTCAGTCAGCTGCTTGGTGAACTTCTCAATCCAACTTCACCTGCCACTTATATCGATCAGTAGGCAAGTCTGGCTTCTTTTCTTAATGCATTTTTCAATGGCCCTGTGCTCACTGGGCTGTCTCCTCTTCTACCAACCCAACTCATGAGGACAAGTCACAGCCTGATGGGCCTAGGTAGGAGACACTCTACAGGGAAGGGGGAGGTCCTTGGCTGACGACTTGGGGAAGCCAGAGCCTCTGAAGACAGCATGGAGCAGCAACATCCGAAAGGTCCTCTAGGCCTCTGCCATCTCCCAGGACACCACACTTTAGCCACACTGCCCAGTGACACAAAGGAGCCAGCTTCAGTCACCACCTCCATACAGCCATGGACTTTTATCTGGGGAGAGCCTGGCTGTCCTTGGGGCTGTGTGGTCTAGGAGCAGCACTGAGGAGTCTACTGACCTCCATGCTCACTGACAGTGGAAAAGGCTCCTGGGGTTTCTCATTTTGCATGGGAAGCAGCAGCTGCTTTAATACTATGTTCCATGAAGTGTTACAGATTTGAGCACCTCCTGAGGCTGGGGTTGGGTGCAAGTGCTGGGTCAAATGAACGGTGGGTCCAGAACATTGAGGGTTGTTGCCCAAGAAGAAATGTGTGTGGCTGTTCACCTTGGGTTGCCTCCACCCTCTGGAGCTGGCGCTGGGCTCCCCATGCCCTGCACCTTCTGGACCACCCCCATACTCAGATAATGGAGGCCCACAGCCTCCTGTACTCAGTGTCCTCTGCCACACCACCAGGCTATGTCCACAGCTCCTACACGGCTCCACAGTCTCTGAGACCAACAGACAGACCCTCAGCTGAGCCCTCTCTGCTGACACAGGACAAAGCAGACCTCATGTGTGAGCCCTTTAGTAGAAAGGCACAGGGCACACGACCCTGCCCACGGCTTACATTCAGGGGGACGAAAGGGAATAAATAGTCATCAAACAGGGGTGAATACAGGCTTCTCTCTTCCAGGTGCCTGGGGGAGAGGTCCGGCTCAGCAGACCTGGATCATCATCGAAGTTACCATGTTATCAAAGGCCCTGAGAAAAGAACCCAGATTTAGAGCAGAACAGGCTATGACCCTGCCCTCTGCTGGTAGACACTGGCACTGTCGCATCAGGTACTCAGGACTCTGGGGCTTCTCTAGGGTTTAGGGAAGCAGAGGGCATATCCACCATACTGGGCTGTGACACCCACCTTCTGACTCCACAATCCCTGCACAGCCTCCACAGGCCTACTATGTCACAGACTTCCTCAGCATACTTCCCTGAGGGTGCAGGCAGGGGTAAGCAATGAGCCCCATTAGCAGGCAGTACTATCTTTGCCCTGGACAGCTTTAGGGACACCAGTGTGCTCTCTCCTAGGATCTAGGTGGATGCAAGACTCTTGATATCTCAGTCAAAGCAAGGTGCCACCAGAAAGGTCTAGCTTGGGTCACCTGTCAATTGCAAGAAGCTTCTTAGGTACAGTCCCAGAAAAAGAATCTGGAAGCAGGTTTGTAGTGCATGCAATATGAAGTCCATGCCTCCTGATGAAGCATCTATGTGAGGTCTATCCAGGCTACAACACGTTGCCACCATAAAAGCTATGGTCACAGCATAAGCTGTGAGCTTGATGAGCTCTCTGGAGGTCCTCAGGTACCCACAGACACATCTGGGAGACCAGATGAGTGAACCTTGGCCCAATCTGTCTGTGTACACTAAAGGTCTGTGTCAGCACTAATTTAGAAAAACAGAACTGGCTGCTTTGAAATAGTGGCCTTAGAACAGTACTCCTAGCTCCTTCACTTTCCCAATGACCATGCTATCACAGAGCAGGACCTACTTAGAGACACAAACACACAGGACCCACCTTGACTGGATGCGGTCTCCCGGGTTGTAAAAGGGGTTGCACATCACATCCGTGTAGGAGTTATGCAGCTTCCGGAACATCTGAAAGAACAGAAAGTGCTTTAAATGAGTGCGTGCACAGGGCCGTTGCAGACTTTTGCATTCTTGGTGAGGAAAGGGAAGCAGCAGACACCAACCTTAACCCCCTGCACTTACACTGCGGATCTCGTTGTCTCGAAGGGCTGTATTGGAGGAATCCACCACCATGACAAATTTCACCTTGGAATTGGTCACATAGCCGTATCTGTACAGCTGGTTAAGGAGCATGCTTTGGCACAGGGGCTGTATGACTGCGTATGGCATACATAACATCACAATCAAGGGCCTGCAAGCCTGGAGAACTTTGTGAACCCTCACTTCAGAGAAGCCTGACAAACTTGAATCATAGGAAGCGCCCAGGCTAGAGCAACTATGTAGGTGTGCCCCTGAACTAGGAACAGTTCAGCCTCCTTTTGAATTGATACAACCCTGGGATGTTAGTTGCAAACCAAATTTTTGCATCAGTGTTGTCAATGTTCCCATGGATAGCCTACAACTAGCCCCCATGGGGATGTTCTTGGATTCTGTGGTCTCAACAACTTGTCCAAAGAAATAGCCAAGAGTTTACAGTGCCACATGAGGCTGAGCTTTACCACAGTATCATGAAACAATTACCCTTGATTCAAAGTTGAGTGGCCTTTGACAAGCACAGAGAAGCCCAGATTCCTGCTGTGTCAATCTGCACTCTCCTGGAAGCTCAGCCTCGCTTTCCCAGTGATTCTTCTAATTAAGGGGGGGTTGTTTAGAGGCTTTTGTTAGCTTCAGGTCGCTGCCTGCTTGACCAGCTGAAACCCCTTACAATTTCCTTTTCTTATGTTTCCTCCCACATCCCACTCTGCGAGCACGAGAGCACTGATGGATACACCTTGTAGTCCTCAGTTGGGTAGAGCAGGCCCAGGTACAGCTCCCTCTGGTCCACCAGTGCTTTCCCCATGGCAGAGATCTTCTCATCTACCACATCCAGGGACGTGTGCACCATGTAGTGGAACTTGAGCTCATTCTCTGTGGGAGTGCTTCGGATGTACAGAGGGTAATTCTGCAGAAAGGGTGGTGGTTCACCCAGTGAGTTCCAGCTCTGAAGACAATGTCAAAGCCCCCCTAAGGTGGGCTCTCAGCCTGCCCGCCACTCACATTCTCTAAAATCAACTGTGGTGGACACTGTCTTCAGGGGCGTAACCTAAGGGGGGCCGCATGCCATATGCAGAGAGGGGACTAGGGATATAACTCAGTGGCATAGCACTTGCCTGACATGCAGAGTCCTAAGTTCAATTCCCAGTGCTGAAAAGAAAAAAGACACTGAACTAGGGATGTGGCTCAGCGGTGGGGTGCCTGAGGAGCAGCTTTAAGCCATAGTTCAATCATCTGTCAGAGACAAGGAGGGAAGAGGAGGTGGCAGCAGGAGAGGCAACTGCGCAGGGGCAGGAAGGCGCAGAAATGGCCCAGGAATGCCAACCTGGGCACAGCCTAGCAACACACCCTGACACTAGGGTGGGTCATTCCTCTTACTAGAATCATCTCTGCCTCAACCACCACCACGCTGAAGTGCCAGCCCAACAGCAGGCGCACTGGCTATTTCTTAACCTGCCACACAAGGGCAGTGGTCCGTTGCTCAGTCCTTCAAGACTCAGCTCAAATCTCCATCTCTACACTTCCCTCTCCATCTCTAAGTTTCCCTCCTGGCCTCCCACACCCACTGTTCACTATGTCCAGAAATCGTCTGGTCTACTGTCGTTGAACGAATCTCCAAATCGGGACACCTCAGCATAGATACTGGACTTTATCATGGGTTTAATCAAAGCAGCCGCTGCATTTTTTAACTGAGTTTTGATTTTGGTGGGCTTATGGGGGCATAACTCCCTCTTTCATACTGACAGCTTCACAGCAGCTCAATCCCTAATGGCAGGTCTCAGGGAAGACCTGGTAGGATACAGGCTCCATGCAGCAGGATCTTGTGGGCCTCTGGGGCTGTTTTAACATTCATAAACGGCTTTTCAGAGGAAACAAATGCGTATGTTGGCCAGCGAGGAGATGAGAGTTGGGAAGAGAAGATGGAAAGGGGAGAGGGAAGCCGTCTAGAGGTTTCCAGGCCTTCTCTGTGGCTGCAGTAGGAGGGTGCAAGTGGTAGGAAGGGGACTATCCTACGGCAAAGAAAACACTTGAATTCTGGGCTGACGCGCCAGGTTTGTGTTTAAATAGCACGGGGGTGGGCGGCAGCCAGGGGACAGTCTGAAGGCGGGGCAGAAAAGACCGGACGCGGAAGGCAGCAGAAGCCGAGAAAAGAAGAACGCGTAGAGCGAAGGGTGGAGGAGGGCTGCAGCGGCCCGCCAAGCTTCCCGGTGGGTCTCAAAACCCGGAGGCCGCGGCCTGCAGGGTGGCAGCGGGCGGGTGGCTGGCAGCGAGAGAGGGCAGGAGGGATCCTGATTACAGGGCTTGGCTGAGGCTTGGGAGTCTAGAGCTGAGAAGATGAAGGGCATGGCTGGAAAGAGGCCCGCCGCCCGCCGCCCGCCGCCCGCCGCCCGCCGCTTCTCACGCACCTCCTTGGCGATCACCGCGATGCACACCGCCATATTGGCAGGCCGTGCGCCGCATCATGTGACCCGGTGGGGTCAGGCCCCGCCCATTCCCCCTCCCTCTGTGGCTTAGACCCCGCCTTTCTCTACAGTGGCCGTGCCCGGCCTTTCAACTCAGGCCTTGATTCCGACCTCTTTCCTCTCAAGCACGAGTCCCACCTCTCCGGTTAGGACGCTGGCAGCGCCCCTCTTCTGTCGCTCCGTCCCATTTTTCCTGTCAGGTCCCGCCTGTCGTGTCACTCAGCCTGACTGACCCGGTTCCCACGCTTCAGCTTGGTGGGGTCCCGGCTTCTCTGTCCTGCGGCATCCCAGACCCCACGTCCTTTCTCGCCAGGCCGAACCCACTCTTTTTGTCACTAAGGCGGCCTTGGCCCCGCCTCTCCTGTCACTCAGTCACCAGGGCCCGCCCCGCAGTCCAAAAGGAAACGCCGCGAATTTGGGACTGGGTCTTGGCTCCGCTGCGGGAGCTTGGTTGCCATGGCGGCATGTGCCACAGCGACCAGAGGGCTGCAGCAGCTGCTGGTTCTGAGCGCCTTAGGATTCTTGGCCACAAGTGCTCCACAGCCTCCCAACATCGTGCTGCTGCTCATGGACGATGTGAGTGGGGTCACGCGGCGGTGACCCGAGGGAGGCCCAGCCCCGGGGGTCACTTCTCTCTCTTACTGTTTCCGCAGTGGGGGTCGGTGTTCAGGGAGGTTCTCCCCCTATCTCCCCGGGGGCGAGGCCTGGAGTCCCCCTCCCCTCATACGTGATTCTGCCCTCGGTGCCCACCTCCAGCCTGGGCCTCTGGGGAACTCTGACCAAAGTCGAGCATGGAAGAACTGAAAGGTAAGAAGGTCACCCGAGGGGTCAGGTGTGTAGCCCGCAGTCAGTCATCTCTGAACTCAGCCTCGGGGCTGATCTGCCTCGGTGTCCCTGTCTGGGGAATCTGACTCTCTGGAGTGACATGAAAGCTTAGAAATCAGCACTGGGTCAGAAACTACACAAGCTGAATCATCCCTGTCTTCCTCTGAGCCTCAGCCGCCTGCCCCCCACCCCACCCCAGACTCACACTACAGAGTGGCACCTGTCAGCTATTGTTAGAACCGGCGTCGGATCCACTTCAGGTTGATTTGGAACAGTGATGGGCATCCCAGAGGCTAATAGCCAGTGCAGCCCTCCCCACAGAGCCTTCAGTCCTGTGCTGATCCACACTTAACTCCTCAAAGTGGCACCCATCAACATAGAGAGGGGCCATGTATGTAAAATAAGTTGGATTTTAGAAACTTAGTAGGAGAAAAAGAAAATAAACATCCCACTTGATAGTCTTTGGGTTAGTGGTTCTTTATCATGAAGAAAAATATACACCTGAAAAGTCCTGTGCATAATCCCACTACCCAGAATCCACTGCAGGGAACCTAGAATGCTTCTTTCCAGCTTCCCATCTTGTGTAGACGATGGCTAATTCACACTCTGGGTGCCTGGCTCCTTTGGCTCCTGTTCTGGTGGCTGTAGCAGGCTTTCCACAGTAATAAGCAGTGCAGAAGATATATATCACATCCATATGTAGTGCCTTTCAGTATTCGGTCCTTTTAGAGTCAAATCACACTGAGTTGGTTTGTTGGTTTATTGGCTTCTTTGATCAGAAGTACTGACTACTGTCTACGGCCATACCACCCTGAACACGCCTGATCTCGTCTGATCTGGGAAGCTAAGCAGGGTCGGGCCTGGTTAGTACTTAGATGGGAGAAGTACTGACTACAGATGCTTGTCTGTCAGTTTTCTGCTCTCTCCTTTCCAAATAACAGCCTGTGAGAAGTGAGAGGTCCTTTCTAACACTCCATTAGGCTACTGAAGAGTGTTGAAATAATAGACTTTGGATGATTGAGTTAAGTAAATGTACTGTTAGCCTTCATCTTGCCTACTTGCTTTTATTTTTTGGTTTGTGTACTTGCTTAGTTGGTTGGTTTTTTTGAGAGATGGTCTTGCTATGTAGTTTTGGCTGGCCTGAAACTCACTCTGTAGCCCAAGCTGGCCTCAGACTCAAGGCCTTAGCCTCCCCAGTGCTAGGATTACAAGCACAAGCCACTGCATCCAGTAACCTAACTGCTTTTCTAACATGGTGACTAGAAAATATAAAGTTATATGTAAGGCTCAGCGTGCACTTTCATTGGGCAGCCGCAGATGAGTAGAGAGGTTTTGTGTAATGGGATGTAATTAGCATCAGACCGGTTTACCTGAAGGTGGTTGATTGGGAACCCCCACCACCTACCTTCTAAATATCCTGGGGCTGTCCCAGAACATTCTGCAACACTTGTATCTTATTAGGTAGGGACTTTTGATACATATAACTGAAAATGAACTCAACTTCAGCAAAACTGGGAATCCCTGACTTTACCAACTAGATCACTCTGACTTAAAGCAGGTAGGTTCCAGGCTTCCCCTTTCATAAAGCTGCTTCTGTAAGCTGGTCCCTGGTGGCCCTGTGACAGCCTCATGACAGCCCTAGGCAACTCCCAGCTCACTTACCCTACTGTGAGCATTCCTAGTAGGACAATGACTTTTGCTGACTCAGATCCACTCCTGACCCAAGCATAAGTTGAGAAGAATATGCTGGACTGTCCAACAGGGAAGCTGAGCCCACCTCTGGAAAGGACACCCTGGGTGAGGAGGCCTCCTGGGTTCATGCTTGACCTATTTCAGGGTGCCAGTGCCAGAAGAGGCAAGGGGAGAAAGATCCTGAGGTGCCCCCTAGGTGGCAGATAAAGACAGCCTCAGTGGCACAGGGGCCTCCATACTTGTCCCTTCTCCTCTGCAAACCCCTGCTTTTATTCTCTATAGCTGACTTTGTCATGCTGATCGAATCTGACATGGCTCACAGCTCCAGGCTTGGCACTTTCTGATTGTCTAAGAGTGTCTCTAGTTTAAATTCTTCACTGACTTTGGACTGGTTGACCATGGTCCTATCCTGCCCTGGTCACATCATGAGTGTCCAGAGGGCATGTTCTAGATAAGTCCCTTATCCCTGAGAGGTTACCATTATAGAACAGGAGATAGGTTCCCAAAACTAGCATAGTGAACCATACAAGACCTATTCACCTGCCAGTCACATTAACTTGTAAAAGACTGTATACCCACTCCTGTCCTAAGGGTTACAACCAGCACAAGAGACCAATTTGTATAAAATGACAGCACAATTAGAGTATATGTGCAACTCCTTATCTCACTCACAAACTCACATTGCAGGCCCTGCCTTGCAGCATTGTATGTGACTGGCTATTCCTCAAGGCATACTTGGATCCACCTGCCTCTGCCTCCCAATTGCTGACATTAAAAGTGTATACCACTGCTACCCAGTGATATATCTTGTTCTTAATTGTGATAAAATTCACAGAATACCTCTCTTATACTGTGTGTTGCATAGGTTAATTCCTTAACCCGTGATAACTGAAGGGTAAAGGTAGCATACTTATCTTCACAGAAAGAGCTGAAGTGGTGAGGAATAGGTTAAACAGGGAATGGAAACATACAACTGGACTGCTGTCCTCAGGAAGGCCATTGTGGGATGTTGCCTTTAATGGGCACTGGAATCTGGGTATCTCTACCCTAAGAAAAGTGATTTCCTGCATCTGAGCAGTGTGTATAGCTATCTTGATTTGTATAGGACACCACCTCCCCCTTTCACCACAATCTTGCTCTGAATTCTCCTTGACTCCTCAGTCCTTTTAATCTCTGTGGAAAGAATTTAGATAAGACATACAGACCATAGAGTAAGAGATAGGTATAGTTTATTACAAATCTATAAACTGCTGCTCTTGAGGGTGAGAGTAGACAGTGCTCAAGGAATGAGAGTGGACAATGACCAAAAAGAACCATTGCAGAGCAAAATACTCATGGTCATTGAAGGTAGGTATGGGCTAAAAGTATGGGCAGGTTTGTTGGCCTAGTGCCTAGGATGGCTTTCCACATAACCCTCTAACATGAGCTGAATAGAACAAAGAAGGACAAACACAGCCCAAGGTAAAATAAGCTTTGGTCCTAGCTGCAATGGTGTCACATACCTTTAGTCCCAGCACTCAGGAGACAGAGCCAGGCAGATCTCTGAGTTCAAGGCCAGCCTAGTCTACAGAGTAAGTTCCAGGACAGCCAAGGCTACACAGAGAAACCTGACTCAAAATTGAGAGAGAGAGAGACAGAGAGACAGAGGCTTTCAACTCTTCTAGGTATGTCTAACTTGCAGCCACATGCCCAACATAAGAATCATAAAACATATTTTTGTGATTTTTTGTAACTGATTGCAGTTCTCAAACATGAAATTTGTAGAAGACAACAATATATCACAAAACAAAAATTGTACATGCCTATATCTATTAATGTCATGGCTCCACCCAGGGTCATAAATATAACTGGTCACATTCTATGAACCAGGGATCAGTCCAACAATTTCAGGTCTTGGTTTTGCAAGCTCATCATTAAGGATTCATCCCCAATAATTTCCAAGCCTACTAATATCCAATTAGTTATCTAATACCCCTGTGCATCTGGTCATCTTGCTGTGTGGAAATGATGTACAAAGTGCCTTCATGACCAACCCAAAGAGAGAACTCTAGATTCTAATCCTCTCACAAGTTCTCTGGTTGATTCCACCCACTGTGCTGTCACAGCTTGACCTTGGGGGAAGCAGGCTTGTAGTATAGCCATGGGAGCAAGACGCTGGACGCTGCCTGGTCGAGACCTCCCTGTGCCACCCTGTGCATCCTGGCCCTTGTCTGGTTTTACTGCCTGCCATCCCTTCACTGTGATGAGCCATGGCTGGGAATTGACTGCATGTCCTTCCTCTAATGAGAGTTTTCCACAGTTGATTCAACGCACAGGTTACATATCAAAGGGAGTAAGAGTTTATTCTGAGCCAGATCTGAGGGATCACAGCCTAGAAACATGGGTTCGGGTTTCCTTGCATAACATTCCAATGTGGAAGTGAAATAAGGTCATACTTATGAGCTCCAGATGGTCATGGATATGGAGAAATACAATTCCATCCAGACAGTATAGCCTTCAACTTGTTCATCCATCGTCTGGTGGTCACTTGGACTGGTCCTACCCCTTGATGGTTGGAATCAGACTGCCATGGGCATACATGTAGTCTTGGAGCAAGAGTTTTCAGTTCTGTGAGGTACACTGAGCCAGGCTGCCAGGCCATGTGGTAACTCTAGGCTCGGCTTTCAGAGGAACCTCACCACTTGCTTTTGAAATCTAAATTTGCATAACAGCTTTATGCTGAAAATAGATGTGTATTCTTAGACACCAAGACTCTAGGAGC